GACCCACTGCCTACCCAGAAGCGTGTCGTAAGAGTCGACTAATTGGGATTTCCTTTGAAGTCGGAGTATATCTGCCCGAGCGGCAAGGAACAACCAGCTGCACACAAATAAGCCAGTAAGCCCAAAACTTAAGGCCTAACACAAAGTCCAAATTGATCATGAATGACCAGGACTTTCCACCAGAGCCTACAGCCGATGAGTGAAGAAGAAGAAAAAGAATTCTTCATTTTTCTAGGGTTGAATTAAGAATCACAGTACTCTGGACGCTCCGTCCCCATCTTCAGCAGCAAGTAAAATGTTCCAATTCTGGGGCTGCTCTTGATGACGTCGCTCCATTATTTGGGTAACCGTACCCTTACTCTTGTGTTCACGAAACACCGTGTCCGTGACTTAAACTACTTTGATAGGGTCCTGGTTCTTGTGATGCCTAGAGTGTTCATAGATGCATATGTACAATAAATATACGTAAATGAATTAATTTGTGTTTTGAAACCACTATGAATGAAAATAGTATTGACAAATATAAACTCCTCTTAAGAACTGAATTGGAACGGAACTCGGTCTTAAGTGGAGACGCTGTACTTCTTCATTGTGGCTATCTATGGCAGTTACCGGGGATTTCTTCTCTGATGGCCAACCATTTTCTTTTGGCTCTTTAATGCATTGTCTTCTCGATAAGACGATGCAAATTTCGGTTCCTTATTTGATTTCACTCCATCTCGGGGCCTCCGAGATTTTCGGGAAAGTCCCATAGTCCTGAGGTTGGGTGACATAAAAGAAAAGAAAACCCACATTTTCTGCCAGTTTGTGGTAACATCACTAGCCATCATCATGTAGCAGGTCCTTTGTCGAACGTCGCTGTCATCACGGTTAGCCTGAAACTCGACAGCTTTCCCGCCTCATACTTTTGTGTGCAAGGAGTTACTTATGTCATGTGTTGGTCGGCCCCTGACCCTTCTTCCTGGTACCATGAATTCTGCTATTATTCTCTTTAATCCGCCATGGCGCTGGTTATGACCAAATTATTTCAGCTTCCGAGACAGGATGCTGTTTGTTAGCCAATCTTCCTTTATGTTCAGATCTTTTAAAATGTCATATTTCGTCTTTTCTTTGTCCATGGTATTATGAGAACCTTTCTATAGCATTTCAGCTCAGAAACCTCTATTTTCCTTCTTAAGGACTGGGAGATTGTCCACGACTCCTTAGCCACGCCTAGCCAGTACCTACGTGTCCGGTACCACCCTAAGTAGTGGATACAAACAGTGAAGGCATTAGTATATGTATGGTTGAAAGCAGTGTTCTTCTGTCGGTAGTTGGTAAAGGCTATGGTCGAAACGTTCGAGTGTATTTGTGCACGTCTTTTTCCCAACCTCCCTTGAGTTTTCTAAGTTTGTATTGTAGTTAGCCTTGATTTCAGCTCGTCTGCAGTTACGGTCGTGACGTTATAACTCAGAGGGATTGTGTTATGTGCACCCGTTTCATTATTATAGATGGAACTTGAATCAGTATCATAGGTGAAATCTATAATCAGTATCATAGGTGGATCTATCAGTATCTTAGATGGAATCTTTAATGTGTATCATAGGGGAGATCTAGGATCAGTTTCGTTGGTGAAATCTGAATCAGTATCATAGGTGAATCTATCTGCGTCATAGATGGAATCTAGGATCAGTATCATAGATGGATCCCAAGAAGAGTCTAGTCTACATTCGTTGGTCGTCTCATGAGGAGTACACCATAGCAGTGTTAAAGTTATAGTGAAAGAGAGGCAGATTTAGATCGAGAGAGAGTATGCTGGTCAGTTTGACATGGAATGGGAGATCATATGTATCCAAATCCATTGAAATACACGAGACAGTTGATTTTAGTTCTTGACCTATCATTACAGTCCCTCATTCTATCCCTGTCACACACACACCACTTTAAATCCATATCTGGAATTTATGGGCATCATAGCCGAATAAATTGTTCATGGAAATGTGTTGTGAAAAAGAGCAAGTTTGTATTTAGCTGGAACAGTACATCTGGCTAACGAACATTAATGACTTCGGCATCTTTATGGAATATGAAAATGTTGGTTCAGTCCAAGAAGAAGGGGGTAGGGCGAAAATGTGAGAAGGGAAGAAAGTTTAGGGTGAAGGTATTCAGAAGGAAATAAAATAATGAAGGAAAGGCAACATAGAGGGAGAACAGAAGACGTGAAGACAATCTAGAAAATAAGCAAACTATGAAGGAAGGAAGAAAGAAAATAATTAAGAAAAAATAAAGAAAACTGAGGAAGTAGACGCAAAAGAAGAAATTTATAAAGGTAACATGTAACAGAAAACAAACAACGTCCTAGCACTCTTATCTTCATCTATGTTTTCAATACCAGATCCTGTGAACGTACTTGATTGGCACACCAGGCGACAAGGGTAGATAAAGAGGTGCAAAATAGTTACATTATCCACGTAATTACCTCCCCGTTTCGCGAGGTTGACGTGGCGCAGGTTTCCCTGTTCTCCGTTGGCGTGTTTTTCTTGTTGCCTTGTCAGTAGTGGGATACATTCTAGCACATTCCTGGCGTTTCGTGCGTGTTGATTGCACAACTGCTACATCTCATTCTGTCTGGAGGCTCTTTTCTTGTATGTACCTGCACGGTGTGTCTGTGCGTGCATGAGCCAGATCCGGCACCTGGTTAAACTAGCGATTGAAGCAATGATGTGGGAGTCTCTCCACACCTGCGTTGATACGGCTGGCAGTGAGAATAGAGAAGAGAACGTGCAGGATACATTAAACGAGGAAGGCAAACAGGACCAGGGGTACACGATCATTAGGGGATCAGGTACCTCGACAACCCCCCCCCCCCCCAATAATTCCTAGATGTAGACGAAGCTCCCTTTCCCTTAAGAAAACTACCCGGGGGGGGGGGGCATCATCACCCAATTATTTAAAGGAGCTTTCACTTTATAAGTATTTCTTTATGCATAATATTTCATTGAGCACGTAATAATTGAATTGGCCATGGAAGCACACAGGGCTGTAGAATTGGCGAGAGAGATAGAGACTTTCATGCGGGTCGTGAAGAGAGAGACGTTTTGTAAAAGAACATGCTGATTGATGAATAATAATAATTCGTGTTATCATTATTGCACATTGAACAAGGCTTGGACAGACACACACATCCCCGAGTGTAGTGCGTGGTGTAGTTGTCACTGGTATTATAACTTCTTCAAGGTTTCAACTCCAGGTGTGGTTAACAGGGTCCCGTTGGTGGCAGTTGGGGGGTGGAAGGGGTAGTCCACTGTCCCATAACTAACGTGTAGTACACTGCAACTCTTTAAAGGGTTACTCAGATCAGACGTTAGTTAGTCTTTCCTCTTGGGCATAGGACAGAGGCCATAACTCATCTGGCCGCTCGTTGCCACCTGCTATAGGTCATGGATTATATTTGTCAGGCCCATTGTTGAGCCTTCTGTGATGATGGTTCTACGTAAGAGTCTCTCTTGGTCTTCTCCGTTTTCTTGTCCCTTCTCTTGTCAAGGGCTTGATGGAGAAGTCTTGTCTTATCCATTCTGCGTGGCCGATGTAGTTCCAGCGGCGCTTTCTTTTAAAATTGGATTCATTTTCTTGCTTTGTCTCTTGTCTTATTTGCATGTTATACATCAGATGTGTTGGATCGATATTACAGCCTAGCTTTAAACCACAACACGTCGTGACAACCTCCCCCTTTTAAGAACGAACACAGATGAAGGTTGAACGGGTTATCTACGGTTGGCTCTGTTGGTTTGCATCCCATGATTCGACGTCAAGTCTCAGGGTTGGTCAAATCTTCAGTTAACAGACCGGAGGAAAATGAAAGACAGAAAGACAACGAGCTCATTTTGTTTCCTTACCCGCCCCACAGGGTAGTACTTGGTGCAGTCGTTACTGCTACCATTGTTCACCCTTAGAAGGTTGAACAGGAGGACATCTAGGATTTGTACTGTCTGATTTCTAGCGAGAAGGCCATTCTATCTATCTATCTATCTATCTATCTATCTATCTATCTATCTATCTATCTATCTATCTATCTATCTATCTATCTATCTATCTATCTATCTATCTATCTATCTATCTATCTATCTATCTATCTATCTATCTATCTATCTATCTATCTATCTATCTATCTATCTGTCTGTCTGTCTGTCTGTCTGTCTGTCTGTCTGTCTGTCTACTTCAGTGTTCCTCATTAGTCCGCCCAAAACAGACACATTTACATAGGCTGTAAAATGTACAGTCTAATTTCTTGTTTCCCAGATATCTACCAGCAACAGTCAAATATCTGTATACCTACAACATAGTTTTCTTGTATTTCCTTGAAATCCCCGAACACCACACATGCTGTATTACTGATAACCTAATTTCCATATTTACCTGGGTTCTATTACCTACAGACCAAATATAACAACAACAAAAATCTAAAGAGATCTCCCAACAGCAGAAATATCTCTTTTACCAACAGCCTGATTTCCTTTTACCTCCCAGAGGTAAAAGCAAACAACCTAATTTCGTATGTTTCCCTGAGATCTCCCATCAACACCAACACAGATGTTACTATTGCCTTCAGACTAGTTTTCTTTGTTTCCCTGAGATCTCCCATCAACACCAACACAGATGTTACTATTGCCTTCAGACTAGTTTTCTTTGTTTCCCTGAGATCTCCCATCAACACCAACACAGATGTTACTATTGCCTACAGCCTTGTTTTCTTTGTTTCCCCGAGATCTCCCAACAACACCAACACAGATGTTACTATTGCCTACAGCCTTTTTTTCTTTGTTTCCCTGAGATCTGCCATCAACACCAACACACATGTTACTATTGCCTTCAGACTAGTTTGTTTCCCAGAGATCTCCCAACAGGCAAGTTTCTCTACTACCCTACAGCCTAGGTTCCTTATGTATGCCAGATATCTCTGTACCACAGTCAGATGTCTGTATACCCACACTACAGCCTATTTTGCTTATTATTTCTCCCAGAGCGAGCTGGTGGAGTTCTATTACTTCTGGAAGAAGTCCCCTGCGGCCAACAACTCCCGCCCTCAGTACCGCAGACACAGGAGACCACTCAAGAGGCAGAGTCCTCGAAACAACCAGCCAGATAACGAAGGTACAGTTTGTCCCTCTGTTTTATATGCTGTTTGCATGTGTGCCTCTCTCCTTCTCCACTCGGTTCCCTAAGATTGCTGTAAGTTTCCCTAAACAGTGGATCGTTGTCTGTTTCTTAAACAGCTGATTGCTAACTGTTCCCCTAAGATGATTGCTGCCTATTTCCCAAAGCAAATGATTGCTGTCTGTTTCCTTGAGTAGATAATAACAGCTTATTATTGTCGTCAGTTCCCCTAAACAGCTGATCAGTTGCTGTCTCTTCCCCGAAACGGATGATTCTATTTCTTGTCAGTTCTTAACAGCTGACCAACTGCTGTCTGTCCCACTAAACAGATGATTGCTCTTTGTTGCACTAAACAGATGATTGTACTTTGTTCCTCTAAAAAGCTGACCAGTCACTGTCTGTTTCCCTAAATAGCTGACCAATTTATGTCCAAAACAATCTGAATACTATCCTAACTCGAAAGGACTGATTGCTGTCTGTTCTAAAATAACTTTCTGTCCTCCGTGTCTCCCTCTATTTTTCACGCTTTAACAGTCATCACATGAGCTTTCCAGATCCTCTTTGCCCCCCCCCCCCCCACCCCACCTTTCCCACATATCAACGACGCACGTGCGCGCATACACACATCGGCCTGTTCACCCCAGACAGGGCATGCAGCTACCAAGCAGACTGTTCCCACCCTATAAATGCAACCTAACGCTAGGGGACAAAACATTAACCCGTGCTCTCGCTGAAAGCAAACAGACGAAGTTCGTCTCCCTGCAGCGTTTCCCCGCCGTCGCTCAATCGATCTCTAGGCTCCCCTGGTCGTGTTGGCAGCCGGCGAGCTGAGCGGCAGACACGATAGATCCGCAAACGCGGGAGTTCGTGGGGCCGTTTCTTCTTCTTTTGTCGAAGCCAGGGGGGAATAATACACCGGTTAACGTGGGTACTGTAGATCCATTGAATATGTCAGAGGGACGCGCTGAATAGGTGCGAGTGTGATAGACATCTAGCCATTGGTGGAACAGTGTAATGCAGCTTGAGTGCCGTTGTGGATTATGAGAGCTGTTTTATCTTTACGGCTTTAGAGAATGGCGGAGGTAATTGTTCCACTGGTACCGGCAGCGGGCGAGAGGACTTTCAGAAGAAAAATGAAACTTGTTATTCAAGTCCATATTCTTCAGCATGTGCCCCTCACAGCTGCGACCGGGTTGCCCATTGGCCGGCCAGTAGACGACTTCGTTGTCGGCCAGGGCTGTATTTGGGTGTCTCTCTTGATTTGTATTACCACTGCAAGAGTCCTTTTCATGGCTACTTATTGGCGAGCTATGTTAAGCCGTTTTAAATGGCGCAAAAAACATAGTCACAATTATAACCAAAATCTCAGCCTTCGGAAATGCTGGCTGAATCTATCAATTCTCTCTCTCCCCCCCCCCCCCCCCCGTAAGGCAAGTCTGTGTCCCATGAACCGGTCAGTGCCTGAATTAATGATTTTTTGACAACCCTCCTATATATAATTTTAGCCCGTCTTCTTCTTCGTCTTCGATCCTTCTTTCAGAAAACTTGTATCAGGAGGCCGGTAGCCTTTATGAAAGCTTTGTCTTCATCGTGGTTGGAACAGGTCAGATTGCATCTCTGCTGGCAGCACACATCTGACAGTGTTGGAGCACATGCAGATATTACTAGGCTCCTCAGAATGTGACAACTATGATATGAAGATTAGCGTAGACAAGACAGAGTTGATGACATTCTCAAGAAAAGGAAGGACCACCAATATAATAATTGAGAAACACGAGTTTAAGCAGGGGAAAATTTTTTCTCAGAAGACGGAGGAATGAGTAAAGAAATTCAATAAACTTGCCATAAAGCCAGTCAAGTTTTAGGCTAAATGGCACACATTTTGAAATGCAAGCTTGTGGATATAAGCACTAAAAACTGTTTAACATATTCTTCTTCTTAACGCCGTGCTTTCAGTGTCAAACATAGACACTGTCTTCACACCTATTGTGAACCTGTGACGCAGCAACATATGTAGTCTTTAGCTCTCTCACATTCTCACGTGCACACCTATTGTGAATCTGTGGTGCAACAACATGTGTAGTCATTAGCTCTCTCACATTCTCACATGCACACCTATTGTGAACCTGTGACACAACAACATGTGTAGTCGTTAGCTCTCTCACATTCTCACATGCACACCTATTGTGAACCTGTGACACAACAACATGTGTAGTCGTTAGCTCTCTCACATTCTCACATGCACACCTATTTTGAACCTGTGACGCAACATGATGTGTAGTCATTAGCTCTCTCACATGCACACCTATTGTGAACCTGTGACGCAACAACATGTGTAGTCATTAGCTCCCTCACATTCTCACATGCACACCTATTGTGAACCTGTGGTGCAACAACATGTGTAGTCGTTAGGTCTCTCACATTCTCACATGCACACCTATTGTGAATCTGTGGTGCAACAACATATGTAGTCATTAGCTCTCTCACATTCTCACATACACACCTATTGTGAATCTGTGGTGCAACAACATGTGTAGTCATTAGCTCTCTCACATTCTCACATGCACACCATTGTGAACCTGTGAGGCAAAAACATATGTAGTCATAGCTCTTTCACATTCTCACATGCACACCTATTGTGAATCTGTGAGGCAACAACATATGTAGTCGTTAGTTCTCTCACATTCTGACGTACACAAATTTTGTGATTCTGTCACGCAGCAGCGTATGTAGATGTTAGTTCTCTCATATTCTTACATGCACATCTGTTGTGAACCTGTCACTCAACAACAAATATAGTTGTTAGCTTTCTTACATAAGCACACGTGTACTTAAACCGACACTTGAGCACGTATTGTCTTCAGAAAAGCCCTAGGTCATGTAGATACACTTAGCTGGAGAAATAGTGACGTCACGGCTGATCTGAGGAGAGACGAAGCGTACACAGGAAGAATCTTCGCTGTTGAGGTAGGCGCAAGAGGTCTCATCTCTACTCCCATGTACAATGTGATTAGGCAGTTGGGATTGCAGGGAAACGAGCGCAAACGATTACTAAAACAACTGGGCGAGACTGCAGAGAGAGAGCCTTGAGCTGGCTTTGGACACAATGGAAGGTTGTGGGTGACGGGCCTCGGTAGACTAGTCTGGGTATCTAGACTAGTCAGTAAGAAGTCTTATCTCTAAAAGTCCATCGTGTCCAAATTGTCTGCTGGTTTCCCTCTGCCAGTTGCCAACAAAGTCTAATGTGTCTAAACCAACCATAAGCTTGCCACTTGGTCTTCAAGGTTTGCCGACTGATTGAATAGGCTACCACAGCGACTATAAATAAACTTTGAATCTCACAGTACCTGTTGCATAGTCACAATTTTTGTCTCACATCCAGTAATACGTGTAGCAGAAGCAGATCAAGCCTGAGCTTCATGAACACAGGTTGTCCCACCCTTTGAATGTTAAATTAAGAATTGACATCACAGCACTCGGGACACTCCCATAAGCGCTTCGTCCCCATCTTCAGCAGCAAGCGAAGAGCTAAAATTCTGATGGTACCAGTAACAGTCTGACTGTATATCCGTCTCGCCCCTCCCCCGAGTATCAAGCGTCGGCCAGATACCCTTGTAACTCCTCACAGTGCCATTCTCCTCAGACCATAATGATCTATCTGTTCCTCTGCACTGTTCACTCGCTTCCAAAGGGCCCCCACAACATCCAGCTTGTCATTTATCAGTTCACCACCAAGTGGTGCAGAACCGGTCAGTCTATCCGCCTGCTCATTTCCAAACACACCACCGTGACCTGGAGAAAATATCCAAAGGATGCTAACTACGTGGGACCTCTGAAGTGATGCTTGCCACTCTGCACGGAACATGCATGTCTCCACCTTTCTCAGCATGCTCTGTGAGTCAGTTACAATGACGACATGTGTCTACAGCTAATTCTCAAGCCAACGGAAGGCTGCAGTGACTGCCTTCACCTCCATTCTCAAACTAGACATGATATCATATGCCAGGCTTTGTTGCGCCAAGCGACATCTATTCGCCTTCGCTATGAACCCCCATGCACTTTATGTGCCGCTCACCACAGAGCCATCTGTATATACAATCACATCACTTGAGCGGGAATTGTCATGAATCATCTGTTGAACTTATGATTCTGCAGCACCAGCTGGCCAGTCCCTGCACTCACGTCCCCAAGTGATTAGAACCCTACACAAGTCTGAAACAGGATCGGACACTTTGACCCACTCCTCTCCACGCCTAATTTTATCAAGTCTGCACACATGTCGAATTGTGTCTTCAGCTTGCGCCATCCAAGACTTCCCTCTTTTCAGTCAGTGTCCCTTAGCTCTATCCAGGACTTCATGCAGGAGGTGCCTCTTGTCCGCAGCTACTCTAAGATATTACTTTGCTTGCAGAACTTTGAGCCTATCTGCAATAGTAGGCAGTGCAAGTATATATCGCATACATACTACCGGGGTATCTCTTGTACATCCCAGAATCACCCGCATGGCTTCATTCTGTCTGCATTCAAGTTTCATCAGCTGACTCTTTGATATGGTAAGCATGCAAAGTCCATAATCTATCACCGACAGGATCACATGCTGGAACATTGTGAACAACATTCTTTGTTCCACTTATCAACAGCATGCATGGTCATTTTATTACACACATCCCCGTATACTGAACCTTTCACTCAATATATATAGCTGTTTGCCCTCTCTCATGCATATCTGTTCTGAACCTATCACTCACATTCATATCTGTTCTAAACCTATCACTCAGCAGCATGTATGGCCGTACTGTGTCTAATAATTCTCTCTCTCTCTAGCCATTAAAAAAAAATAATATTTGCTTGTTCTCTCTCTCTCTCTTACACACGCATGCACACACTCTCTCTCTCTCTCTCTCTCTCTCTCTCTCTCTCTCTCTCTCTCACATGCACACACACACACACACACACACACATATATATATACACATACTAAACCTGTCACTCAATAGCAGCGTCTATGATTATTTCCCATGCAGCAAGTTCGGGCAGTGAATCAGAGGAAGAGTCTGAGGAGAGTGATGGAAGTCGAGATGTAGCCAGTTGCCAGCGCTGCTTCACTACAAGTAAGTCTTATCTAGTGACGCTACCATCTTTTTCTGTCCTTGCCTTGTATAGTTTTTGTTGTACACAGCTAGGCAGTGACATCTGCATCTTTCGACCCAACACAGCTGCTTTCAGCAAGCCTCTAATTTAATTTAATGACTTGTTTTTAAAGGGGTGGTGATTCTGTTCTTGTCACTCCGACCTTCCCTTATATATAGTGATTGCAGATAGTTTAAAAGTTGAGAATTCTTCTTTTTCTTTACCGGCTGTAAACAGGCAGAAAGTTCTTGTTGTTCGTCCACTCTGGACTCCAGTCCTGCTTCAGAAACTGAGTGTTGCCTGTGCATTCGTTTGACAGATCTGACTCATTTGTATGTAGACTGCTGGTTCCTTGCCTTTCTGCAGATGCACTCCAACTTCGAAGGAAGCTCCCAATTAGTCAACTCTTTTGACATGCTTTTGGGTAGGTAGTGAGTCTATTCTTGTTTTCCCTAAAATAGGGCCCTGGAACCCACACGGGAAAGTTATGAATTACTTCTTCTGCTTCATTGTGTTGACCAACTGTAAACTGGTTGTTCATCCATTTCTGGACTTTTGTCTTGTTCCAGAACTGGAGTTTTGCATGCACATTCATTTTACGGATCAGGCTTATTTGTGTTCACAATGTTGGTTCCTTGCCCTCCATACAGAGGCACCACCTTTAATTAGTCGACTGTTACAACTTGCTTGTTAGAGGGGCGGTGAGTCTGGACACCCTTTCTCCCCAAACAGACCATTCCCTGGCCTAACCAAGAGTTTTCATCAGCATCCATATTTTTGCCTCACGTGAAATGAAATCTGGCATGCAGAATTCATGGAAATGGAAGGCCATGACATTAAAACTGAATTACAGGGAGATGGCACATTAGGACACGACAAAGCTGTGCATTGATGAGAAAGCTTGCACATGCACCATCTTTTTTTGCACTTCTTTATTATTTGTGGATTTCAGTATTGATTTGACATGCAGAGGCAATGTTTTTGATTGTGTTTATAGTTTTCTCCTTCATCCATCTGTAATTTAAAAATCAGGTGGGGGGGGGGGGGGGGTGGTTGCTCCAAACATATCATGCAGAGGGTATGTGTAAGGTCACCATTATCATCATAATCATGTGCCTTGTCTGCTAGTGGGTGGTCTTGTTTCTTCACTCCTGCAAGTCATTTATAGAAAATTTAAAGTTCACGTCCTATTTGTCTTCAACTGGTAGCTTGCCGGTCAAAATCTGGCTTGAAGGGGCCTAGCAAGTGGCCCACCAATTATTGCTGGCAGTATTTTAATAAATATCTTTGTATTCTGGGGCTTGGGCACATGGCTCATGACAATCACTGTTGCCAACATTTTAGCCCCCTGAGCTAGTTGAATAGCATGGTCATGAGGTTATCGATATTATTATTAATACTACTACTACTACTGCTTTAGTCAGGTATTAATGAGATATGACTGAGCTACTGATTAACAATAGTGCCAACAGCTGTATGCGGAGGGGCACATTGGAGAGGACACAGGCCTCGTCTTAGAACAAGGTAATGCTCCATGTGGGTTTCAGAACCCCATTGTGGGAAAACAAGAACTGGATGAACAACAGAACCTTCTGCCAGAGTTAACAGCCAGAGAATGCAAAGAAAAAGAAGAAGAAGAAGAAGATACTGCAACCTGGACACCTAATCTTAGGGCAGGGCAGACAAGTTTCTTTGGTTGGAAGCTTATGTAGGAAGAAAGCTTCAGGAGATTGGCTGCAGATAGCACTACTCTTGTAATTTTGCGGCTTCTGCAGCATGCTGATTCCAGACTGCATGTTAGTGTTACTTTTCCGGTAAGGTACGAGTACTTCTACAACCTGGAGGAGAAAATCTAAACAAGACGAGGGCTACACCTTAAGCTGAAAGAGAAAGATGTACACCCGACTAGGGCTACTCTACAGGTCGCTAGAGAAAATCTAAACAAGACGAGGGCTACACTCTAGGCTGAAAGAGAAAGGTGTAAACAAGATGAGGGCTACTCTACAGGTCGCTAGAGAAAATCTAAACAAGACAAGGTCTACACTCCAGGCTAAAAAAAAATTGAAATTTGTAAACAAGATTAGGGCTACACCTTAGGCTGAAAGAGAAAGGTGTGAACAATACAAGGGCTACACTTCAGGCTGAAAGAGAAAAATCTAAACAAGGTGAGGGCTACACCCTAGGCTGAAAGAAAAAGGTGAGGGCTACACCCTGAGCTGAAAGAGAAAGGTGTAAACAGACGAGGGCTACACCCTAGGCTGAAAGAGAAAGGTGTAAAAAGGCGAGGGCTACACCCTAGGCTGAAAGAGAAAGATGTACACCCGACTAGGGCTACACTCTAGACTGAAAGAGAAAGGTGTAAACAAGACGAGGGCTACACCATAGACTGAAAGAGAAAGATGTACACCCGACTAGGGCTACACTCTAGGCTGAAAGAAAGATCTAAACAAGACTGAAGGCACCTCTGCACCTCATGATTTAAAATAAATGTCTAAACAAGACTAATCCCACATCCCAGTTTAGAAGAGTAAGGTTCAAACAAGAGTATAAGCCCAGATCACGTGATATAAAAAAAAGTCTATACATGAGTGTAAGTATACATCCTTAGGTAAAATCGAAGTCTAACCGAGAGTAAGTCCACATTCCTGGGCAAAAGACAAAGATATAAAAATGACTGTAAACCGAAATCTCAGGGTAGAAAAAAGGGTCTTTTGTTAAAAAAAAAAAAAAAAAAAAAAAAAAAAAAACTTTCTAGATTTATGTTCTGTGACAAAACCATGTTTTACGTGAAAATTTTTCATGTTTTGCTTCTAACAGACTCAAAAGACTGGCACAGTAGTAAAGATGGTGAAGTCCTATGCAGCAAATGCTCTGTGTCATTCAAGAAATATGGGGAGGAGTCTGGGGTAGAGTCTCCGCCTCCCAGTTCCAGTCCCCGACAGCGCCTGTTCAAGCCCGTCCCCGAGGACGAGGAGACGACGCCTTCCAAGCACAATATGCGCACACGTCGCAGCAATAATACAGTAGGTGACATGTGCCATGCTCGGGCTGTTCTGGCTGTTTTTTCTTCAGTCATTTTGCTTTATCAGCACTTGTGGATTTTTAAAAAGAAGTATCTCGATTTTTTTGTGTGGGGGAGGGGGTTGTCAGGCTATTTTTAATGTACCCTAAAACTAAGCGAAAAATGTAAGATACTTCTACACGTGAGGGTAAAAGAAGAAGGACTTAGCAAGACTAGGGCACATCTACAGCCCGGGTAGAAGAGTAAAGACTAGTGTAGTGTTATATCCCTGGATAGAATTGTAAAAACTAAACAAAGCTGTCAGGTACCTCTACATCCATGGTAGAAGAGGAAACACTGAACAAAACTGGAAGGTGCCTCTACAAGTCTTGGTAGAAGAGGAAACACTAAACAAAACTGGAAGGTACCTCTACAAGTCTTAGTAGAAGAGGAAACACTGAACAAAACTGTAAGGTACCTCTCTAAATGCCATGGAAGAAGAGGAAACACTGAACAAAACTGTAAAGTACCTCTCTAAATGCCATGGAAGAAGAGGAAACACTGAACAAAACTGTAAGGTACCTCTCTAAATGCCATGGTAGAAGAGGAAACACTGAACAAAACTGTAAAGAACCTCTCTAAATGCCATGGAAGAAGAGGAAACACTGAACACAACTGTAAGGTACCTCTCTAAATGCCATGGAAGAAGAGGAAACACTGAACAAAACTGTAAAGTACCTCTCTAAATGCCATGAAAGAAGAGGAAACACTGAACAAAACTGTAAGGTACCTCTCTAAATGCCATGGTAGAAGAGGAAACACTGAACAAAACTGTAAAGTACCTCTCTAAATGCCATGGAAGAAGAGGAAACACTGAACAAAACTGTAAGGTACCTCTCTAAATGCCATGGTAGAAGAGGAAACACTGAACAAAACTGTAAAGTACCTCTCTAAATGCCATGGAAGAAGAGGAAACACTAAACAAAACTGTAAGGTACCTCTCTAAATGCCATGGTAGAAGAGGAAACACTAAACAAAACTGTAAAGTACCTCTCTAAATGCCATGGAAGAAGAGGAAACACTGAACAAAACTGTAAGGTACCTCTCTAAATGCCATGGTAGAAGAGGAAACACTGAACAAAACTGTAAAGTACCTCTAAATGCCATGGTAGAAGAGGAAACACTGAACAAAACTAAGGTACCTTTCTACATGTCATGGTAGAAGAGGAAATGAACAAAACTGTAAGGTACCTCTACATGTCATGGTAGAAGAGGAAATGAACAAAACTGTAAGGTACCTCTACATGCCATGGTAGAAGAGGAAATGAACAAAACTGTAAGGTACCTCTACATGTCATGGTAGAAGAGGAAATGAACAAAACTGTAAGGTACCTCTACATGTCATGGTAGAAGAGGAAATGAACAAAACTGTAAGGTACCTCTACATGCCATGGTAGAAGAGGAAATGAACAAAACTGTAAGGTACCTCTACATGTCATGGTAGAAGAGGAAACACTGAACAAAACTGGAAGGTACCTCTCTAAATGCCACGGCAGAAGAGGAAACACTAAACACGTCTTATTTAGTCCCTTTTATAACCTATAGCAGCACACACCTTTTTAACCAACTGAAGCACTCAACATCATCATCATCATCATTCTATCATACCATTAAATGTCACTTTGGGCTCACAGTCTAGTCGACCATTCCATTCTGTCTTGTTTATTCCTTTCATTAGCATGGATGGAATCTAGTCCAGCACCTTTGGCCTCTATCAAGGTTCATCTTAGGGTTTCTCTTGAATGGCTTTTTTTTGGGGTCCATTCGTTTCCTATTTTAATGTCCGGTCTGTGGTTCTCTTTTCGTTTGTCTTGACATACTGTCCAGTATATTGCCATCCTTTTTTTCTCTTTCTCATGACTTGTTGCCATTGGTTGTCTTGACATTCTTCTGAATCATCTGTTTTTGTGTGTGCATGCCATCACTTTTCTTACTTAAAGTCAGTGAAATTCTTCTTCTTGTTCACCGTCACTCTGACAGAAAGTTCTGGTTGTTTGTACACATCTGGATTTTAAGCCTGTTCCATATCTTTGTTTGCATGCACATCTGTTCTATATATCTGGCTTGTGTGTAAGCAGGTTGTTGTTTCGTAACCTCTTAGGCAGATGCACTCTGACGTCACAGAAAACACCCCTGTTTAGTTGACCTTTATGACAAGCTTGTTAGGGGTCTATTCACTTCCCCCATGGGGCCCCTGAATCGACATATGAAATTGAATATAGAGGATTGCTGTTTTGTTAAAAAAAAAAATTTGTAAAATTAGTTTCCGGGTTATTTTAGGTAAGCTGTAAGCTTTGTTGCAACAGCTTCCCTGGAAAGTTGTTAATTTGTTTGAGGACATTTGTCCCTAGGCATCAACAAACGGAAAGCAGAAAGAGCGAAATAGTGTCAGCAGCCCCGACCTGGAGAGCACTCCAGCCATCGCCAGCTGCAGCAACACCATCTCTACAACCACCAACATATCCAGCAGTAAGAGCAGTCGGAAATCTCCCAGCAGTCTGCCTGACAGGGACAGCAGAAAGTCCGCCCAGGTAGTTTGTCATCATGTTTGTTGGTGTATCTGCTGTGTGATTCTTAGAGACTCCCATATGGGCTTCCAGGCCCCATTTCGTTTAAAAGAAAGAAAACATTAGATTAACTGACCCCTACCAAGTATGTGGAAGGCAATCAGCTAGCGGTTTGCTGGAATTGGGTTTCATTTTGGGTTCCGTGGCCCATTATGTGGGGGAGGGGGATAGAGCCCCTAACAAAGTAAGAAACTGAAATTGAATGTGTTGAGCCTGAATGTTTAGATATCGCAGCTAAGCTGTAAGTAAACATAACATATCCTTTTAAGGGTTTATGTTATGTATATTTTGTGAGTGTGAAATCAGTACTGCTGGTCCCTGTGTGGGTTCCAGGGCCTTATTGTTGGGGAAAACAGGAATAGACCCACTGCCTCCCCAACAAGCATGTCATAAGAGTAGACTAATTAGGGTCTTCTGTTGAAGGGCCATAATTTGCGACTAGTTCAATATTTTTTTTTTTAAATCAATTGTGCTCAGCTAAAAAGTGGAGATATCCCAGCCTAGGACCATCCGTTCTTTGTCAGTTGAGACGAGAAAGAGAATTCTTAAAAGCTATATAAATACTATCTTGATATATGGAGATGAATCACGGACAGTTGGTAAATTAGTGAAAACTTATTGGAAGCTACGGAGATGTGGTTTTGTAGATGAATAATGTGAATACCTACCCTGGACACATAGAGTAATGAAGATGTCTTGAAAGAAACTGACTCACGAGAGAGCTGATTGCCCATATCAAAAAGTGACAATGTACATTCTTTGGTCATGTGACAAGAAGGAGAAAACTGGAGTTCATCGTGGCTGTAGGAAAGTTGAAGTGGAAGAGAGGCAGAGAGAGAGAGACCAAGAGAAAAAGATGCTGGACAGTTTGACATCATGGCATGGAGGATCATCTGTGTCAGAGTTGATTGAAAGAACACGAGACAGAAGGTTGTGGATAGACATGACTACCAACGCCACATAACATGGACTTTAAGAAAAAGTACCAACCACTATTTTTAAGGGCGAACGTAAAGTAATAAACTAATAATAAGAAGAAGACAACCTAGCTGTTAACCATACACAATTTGCCCAATGTCTTTTTAAGGGCAAACACAGAAGAGGGAAAATATCAAAATTTGTATCATCGTCATCACCTTTTATATCACAATGATCACCATATTTATATAATGTGCTGAATGTCTCCACAGAAGGAGAAATCAGATTCTAGCCAGGCAAAGAAGAGGAGAACTGCAAACGAGGACGATTCCAAGCTTGCCAAGAAGAAGAAGGTATGTTATATGTGGGCTTTAATTAAAAAAAAAGAGTGTTTAACTCTTTCGGGACCAGTTGACTCACCATATGTCAATTTACTACCCAGTATCTGATGTATGGGAGACACCGTGATATAGCAGGCAGATGCTCGCCTGCGGATTGTAAGGTCGTTGGTTCGGGTCCTGACAGAGGTCGGACTGTTTATCAGAAATAACCTTTGCTCCCAGGTAGACCCAGTCTTGAGCGGGTACCAGGTACAGTCATGGGAAGTGAGGTGGCCGGCACAATATTGACCACATCACCTATCAATTGCCGATTGGCCTATAAAATATAGATCTAGCCCTATATGCCTAGTATATTTGAAGGTTTGGAGAGTGGTCCTTTGCTTTACTTGTTAACATCAATTTACTATTCAGTATATGGATATATTTCTTACCACTTGCTTTTTAGTTCTTCTGTAAAAGTAATAGTCTATTTCAACTGTGAATTAAAGATTTGCTGTCCTGTTTGTAGTCACACTGAAACTTCTTAACCCTTGCACACTGTCACATAAAAAACAAAAGGATCATGAGCCTGTTGGAATTTCATTAAAACATACTTGACATTTTAATTTTTTCACAGGTCACTAAATGCATACACATAATTTTTTTTTTTTTTTTTTTATTTTTTTTTTATTGCCCCCAAAATATCTAAAATTAAATGAAGGGAATAATCAATAAACAGGGTGAAGCATTAAATGGAAAACATTGCCTGCAGTCTGAAAATATTCATATGTATTGGGTGACTCAGGTTAAGACCCATGATATCTATCATTGAGGTTATGAGGAAATTTGACATCAGCTAAGCTTTAGAACTATGCGGCTCAAAGGAGCTCTGCCAGCACACACCCACCAAGTTGTTGTTTTTAGTTGATGCTGTCATATCATGGCCTCCTAACCATTCGCACAGGCATAGAAATAGTTGGCCAGTATCCCTAACCATGTCTCGTAAACAGGTCACTGTATTGGGTGACTCAGGTTAAGACCCATGATATCTATCATTGAGGTTATGAGGAAATTTGACATCAGCTAAGCTTTAGAACTATGTGGCTCAAAGGAGCTCTGCCAGCACACACCCACCAAATTGTTGTTTTTAGTTGATGCTGTCATATCATGGCCTCCTAACCATTCGCACAGGCATAGAAATAGTTGGCCAGTATCCCTAACCATGTCTCGTAAACAGGTCACTGTAGAGAAGTTGAAAAAGTGACATTTATGGGAAATCATCCAACTGAAAGTGTCAACTCTGCAGCTTCTCATAGCGAAAGGGTCAAGCCTAGAAGAATTCCACAAATTATGGGGAAGACAGTTTTGAAGTAAAAACCCTTCTGGGATGGCAAGAGTTAATCTGTAGGTTCTGTCCCACTGGACTCAGTCTCTCATTACAGTTTGGCCATTTACTCAGTGAGAGCATTACAGAGAGCACAGAACTGCAGCTTTGGCAGCAACTGCCTTGGTTCTTCAGAACTTGTCAGTGAAGTCCCAGTGTTTTTGCTCTAATCTAGCATGTAATCTGTTGACTTGCAGTGAAGTCCCAGTGTTTTTGCTCTAATCTAGCATGTAATCTGTTGACTTGTCAGTGAAGTCCCAGTGTTTTTGCTCTAATCTAGCATGTAATCTGTTGACTTGTCAGTGAAGTCCCAGTGTTTTTGCTCTAATCTAGCATGTAATCTGTTGACTTGTCAGTGAAGTCCCAGTGTTTTTGCTCTAATCTAGCATGTAATCTGTTGACTTGTCAGTGAAGTCCCAGTGTTTTTGCTCTAATCTAGCATGTAATCTATTGACTTGTCAGTGAAGTCCCAGTGTTTTTGCTCTCATCTAGCATGTAATCTGTTGACTTGCAGTGAAGTCCCAGTGTTTTTGCTCTAATCTAGCATGTAATCTGTTGACTTGCAGTGAAGTCCCAGTGTTTTTGCTCTAATCTAGCATGTAATCTGTTGACTTGTCAGTGAAGTCCCAGTGTTTTTGCTCTAATCTAGCATGTAATCTATTGACTTGCAGTGAAGTCCCAGTGTTTTTGCTCTAATCTAGCATGTAATCTGTTGACTTGCAGTGAAGTCCCAGTGTTTTTGCTCTAATCTAGCATGTAATCTGTTGACTTGCAGTGAAGTCCCAGTGTTTTTGCTCTAATCTAGCATGTAATCTCTTGACTTGCAGTGAAGTCCCTGTGTTTTTGCTCTAATCTAGCATGTAATCTGTTGACTTGTCAGTGAAGTCCCAGTGTTTTTGCTCTAATCTAGCATGTAATCTGTTGACTTGTCAGTGAAGTCCCAGTGTTTTTGCTCTAATCTAGCATGTAATCTATTGACTTGCAGTGAAGTCCCAGTGTTTTTGCTCTAATCTAGCATGTAATCTGTTGACTTGCAGTGAAGTCCCAGTGTTTTTGCTCTAATCTAGCATGTAATCTGTTGACTTGCAGTGAAGTCCCAGTGTTTTTGCTCTAATCTAGCATGTAATCTGTTGACTTGTCAGTGAAGTCCCAGTGTTTTTGCTCTAATCTAGCATGTAATCTGTTGACTTGTCAGTGAAGTCCCAGTGTTTTTGCTCTAATCTAGCATGTAATCTGTTGACTTGCAGTGAAGTCCCAGTGTTTTTGCTCTAATCTAGCATGTAATCTGTTGACTTGCAGTGAAGTCCCAGTGTTTTTGCTCTAATCTAGCATGTAATCTGTTGACTTGTCAGTGAAGTCCCAGTGTTTTTGCTCTAATCTAGCATGTAATCTATTGACTTGCAGTGAAGTCCCAGTGTTTTTGCTCTAATCTAGCATGTAATCTGTTGACTTGCAGTGAAGTCCCAGTGTTTTTGCTCTAATCTAGCATGTAATCTGTTGACTTGCAGTGAAGTCCCAGTGTTTTTGCTCTAATCTAGCATGTAATCTGTTGACTTGTCAGTGAAGTCCCAGTGTTTTTGCTCTAATCTAGCATGTAATCTGTTGACTTGTCAGTGAAGTCCCAGTGTTTTTGCTCTAATCTAGCATGTAATCTATTGACTTGTCAGTGAAGTCCCAGTGTTTTTGCTCTAATCTAGCATGTAATCTATTGACTTGCAGTGAAGTCCCAGTGTTTTTGCTCTAATCTAGCATGTAATCTATTGACTTGCAGTGAAGTCCCAGTGTTTTTGCTCTAATCTAGCATGTAATCTATTGACTTGCAGTGAAGTCCCAGTGTTTTTGCTCTAATCTAGCATGTAATCTATTGACTTGCAGTGAAGTCCCAGTGTTTTTGCTCTAATCTAGCATGTAATCTATTGACTTGCAGTGAAGTCCCAGTGTTTTTGCTATAATCTAGCATGTAATCTAGCATGTAATCTGTTGACTTGCAGTGAAGTCCCAGTGTTTTTGCTCTAATCTAGCATGTAATCTGTTGACTTGTCAGTGAAGTCCCAGTGTTTTTGCTCTAATCTAGCATGTAATCTATTGACTTGTCAGTGAAGTCCCAGTGTTTTTGCTCTAATCTAGCATGTAATCTATTGACTTGCAGTGAAGTCCCAGTGTTTTTGCTCTAATCTAGCATGTAATCTATTGACTTGCAGTGAAGTCCCAGTGTTTTTGCTCTAATCTAGCATGTAATCTATTGACTTGCAGTGAAGTCCCAGTGTTTTTGCTCTAATCTAGCATGTAATCTATTGACTTGCAGTGAAGTCCCAGTGTTTTTGCTCTAATCTAGCATGTAATCTATTGACTTGCAGTGAAGTCCCAGTGTTTTTGCTCTAATCTAGCATGTAATCTATTGACTTGCAGTGAAGTCCCAGTGTTTTTGCTCTAATCTAGCATGTAATCTATTGACTTGCAGTGAAGTCCCAGTGTTTTTGCTCTAATCTAGCATGTAATCTATTGACTTGCAGTGAAGTCCCAGTGTTTTTGCTCTAATCTAGCATGTAATCTATTGACTTGCAGTGAAGTCCCAGTGTTTTTGCTCTAATCTAGCATGTAATCTATTGACTTGCAGTGAAGTCCCAGTGTTTTTGCTCTAATCTAGCATGTAATCTATTGACTTGCAGTGAAGTCCCAGTGTTTTTGCTCTAATCTAGCATGTAATCTATTGACTTGCAGTGAAGTCCCAGTGTTTTTGCTCTAATCTAGCATGTAATCTGTTGACTTGCAGTGAAGTCCCAGTGTTTTGCTCTAATCTAGCATGTAATCTGTTGACTTGCAGTGAAAGTCCCAGTGTTTTTGCTCTAATCTAGCATGTAATCTGTTGACTTGCAGTGAAGTCCCAGTGTTTTTGCTCTAATCTAGCATGTAATCTGTTGACTTGCAGTGAAGTCCCAGTGTTTTTGCTCTAATCTAGCATGTAATCTATTGACTTGTCAGTGAAGTCCCAGTGTTTTTGCTCTAATCTAGCATGTAATCTATTGACTTGTCAGTGAAGTCCCAGTGTTTTTGCTCTAATCTAGCATGTAATCTGTTGACTTGCAGTGAAGTCCCAGTGTTTTTGCTCTAATCTAGCATGTAATCTGTTGACTTGCAGTGAAGTCCCAGTGTTTTTTGCTCTAATCTAGCATGTAATCTGTTGACTTGCAGTGAAGTCCCAGTGTTTTTGCTCTAATCTAGCATGTAATCTGTTGACTTGCAGTGAAGTCCCAGTGTTTTTGCTCTAATCTAGCATGTAATCTGTTGACTTGCAGTGAAGTCCCAGTGTTTTTGCTCTAATCTAGCATGTAATCTGTTGACTTGCAGTGAAGTCCCAGTGTTTTTGCTCTAATCTAGCATGTAATCTGTTGACTTGCAGTGAAGTCCCAGTGTTTTTGCTCTAATCTAGCATGTAATCTGTTGACTTGCAGTGAAGTCCCAGTGTTTTTGCTCTAATCTAGCATGTAATCTGTTGACTTGCAGTGAAGTCCCAGTGTTTTTGCTCTAATCTAGCATGTAATCTGTTGACTTGCAGTGAAGTCCCAGTGTTTTTGCTCTAATCTAGCATGTAATCTGTTGACTTGCAGTGAAGTCCCAGTGTTTTTGCTCTAATCTAGCATGTAATCTGTTGACTTGCAGTGAAGTCCCAGTGTTTTTGCTCTAATCTAGCATGTAATCTGTTGACTTGCAGTGAAGTCCCAGTGTTTTTGCTCTAATCTAGCATGTAATCTGTTGACTTGCAGTGAAGTCCCAGTGTTTTTGCTCTAATCTAGCATGTAATCTGTTGACTTGCAGTGAAGTCCCAGTGTTTTTGCTCTAATCTAGCATGTAATCTGTTGACTTGCAGTGAAGTCCCAGTGTTTTTGCTCTAATCTAGCATGTAATCTGTTGACTTGCAGTGAAGTCCCAGTGTTTTTTGCTCTAATCTAGCATGTAATCTGTTGACTTGCAGTGAAGTCCCAGTGTTTTTGCTCTAATCTAGCATGTAATCTGTTGACTTGTCAGTGAAGTCCCAGTGTTTTTGCTCTAATCTAGCATGTAATCTGTTGACTTGCAGTGAAGTCCCAGTGTTTTTGCTCTAATCTAGCATGTAATCTGTTGACTTGCAGTGAAGTCCCAGTGTTTTTGCTCTAATCTAGCATGTAATCTGTTGACTTGCAGTGAAGTCCCAGTGTTTTTGCTCTAATCTAGCATGTAATCTGTTGACTTGTCAGTGAAGTCCCAGTGTTTTTGCTCTAATCTAGCATGTAATCTGTTGACTTGCAGTGAAGTCCCAGTGTTTTTGCTCTAATCTAGCATGTAATCTGTTGACCAGTGTTTTTGCTCTAATCTAGATGTAATCTGTCCTTGCAGTGAAGTCCCAGTTTTTTGCTCTAATCTAGCATGTAATCTGTTGACTTGCAGTGAAGTCCCAGTGTTTTTGCTCTAATCTAGCATGTAATCTGTTGACTTGCAGTGAAGTCCCAGTGTTTTTGCTCTAATCTAGCATGTAATCTGTTGACTTGTCAGTGAAGTCCCAGTGTTTTTGCTCTAATCTAGCATGTAATCTGTTGACTTGTCAGTGAAGTCCCAGTGTTTTTTGCTCTAATCTAGCATGTAATCTATTGACTTGTCAGTGAAGTCCCAGTGTTTTTGCTCTAATCTAGCATGTAATCTATTGACTTGCAGTGAAGTCCCAGTGTTTTTGCTCTAATCTAGCATGTAATCTATTGACTTGCAGTGAAGTCCCAGTGTTTTTGCTCTAATCTAGCATGTAATCTATTGACTTGCAGTGAAGTCCCAGTGTTTTTGCTCTAATCTAGCATGTAATCTATTGACTTGCAGTGAAGTCCCAGTGTTTTTGCTCTAATCTAGCATGTAATCTATTGACTTGCAGTGAAGTCCCAGTGTTTTTGCTCTAATCTAGCATGTAATCTGTTGACTTGCAGTGAAGTCCCAGTGTTTTTGCTCTAATCTAGCATGTAATCTGTTGACTTGTCAGTGAAGTCCCAGTGTTTTTGCTCTAATCTAGCATGTAATCTATTGACTTGTCAGTGAAGTCCCAGTGTTTTTGCTCTCATCTAGCATGTAATCTATTGACTTGCAGTGAAGTCCCAGTGTTTTTGCTCTAATCTAGCATGTAATCTATTGACTTGACAGTGATCCCAGTGTTTTTGCTCTAATCTAGCATGTAATCTATTGACTTGCAGTGAAGTCCCAGTGTTTTTGCTCTAATCTAGCATGTAATCTGTTGACTTGTCAGTGAAGTCCCAGTGTTTTTGCTCTAATCTAGCATGTAATCTATTGACTTGCAGTGAAGTCCCAGTGTTTTTGCTCTAATCTAGCATGTAATCTATTGACTTGCAGTGAAGTCCCAGTGTTTTTGCTCTAATCTAGCATGTAATCTATTGACTTGCAGTGAAGTCCCAGTGTTTTTGCTCTAATCTAGCATGTAATCTATTGACTTGCAGTGAAGTCCCAGTGTTTTTGCTCTAATCTAGCATGTAATCTATTGACTTGCAGTGAAGTCCCAGTGTTTTTGCTCTAATCTAGCATGTAATCTATTGACTTGCAGTGAAGTCCCAGTGTTTTTGCTCTAATCTAGCATGTAATCTATTGACTTGCAGTGAAGTCCCAGTGTTTTTGCTCTAATCTAGCATGTAATCTATTGACTTGCAGTGAAGTCCCAGTGTTTTTGCTCTAATCTAGCATGTAATCTGTTGACTTGTCAGTGAAGTCCCAGTGTTTTTGCTCTAATCTAGCATGTAATCTGTTGACTTGCAGTGAAGTCCCAGTGTTTTTGCTCTAATCTAGCATGTAATCTGTTGACTTGCAGTGAAGTCCCAGTGTTTTTGCTCTAATCTAGCATGTAATCTGTTGACTTGCAGTGAAGTCCCAGTGTTTTTGCTCTAATCTAGCATGTAATCTGTTGACTTGCAGTGAAGTCCCAGTGTTTTTGCTCTAATCTAGCATGTAATCTATTGACTTGTCAGTGAAGTCCCAGTGTTTTTGCTCTAATCTAGCATGTAATCTATTGACTTGTCAGTGAAGTCCCAGTGTTTTTGCTCTAATCTAGCATGTAATCTGTTGACTTGCAGTGAAGTCCCAGTGTTTTTGCTCTAATCTAGCATGTAATCTGTTGACTTGCAGTGAAGTCCCAGTGTTTTTGCTCTAATCTAGCATGTAATCTGTTGACTTGCAGTGAAGTCCCAGTGTTTTTGCTCTAATCTAGCATGTAATCTGTTGACTTGTCAGTGAAGTCCCAGTGTTTTTGCCCTAATCTAGCATGTAATCTGTTGACTTGCAGTGAAGTCCCAGTGTTTTTGCTCTAATCTAGCATGTAATCTGTTGACTTGCAGTGAAGTCCCAGTGTTTTTGCTCTAATCTAGCATGTAATCTGTTGACTTGCAGTGAAGTCCCAGTGTTTTTGCTCTAATCTAGCATGTAATCTGTTGACTTGCAGTGAAGTCCCAGTGTTTTTGCTCTAATCTAGCATGTAATATGTTGACTTGCAGTGAAGTCCCAGTGTTTTTTGCTCTAATCTAGCATGTAATCTGTTGACTTGCAGTGAAGTCCCAGTGTTTTTGCTCTAATCTAGCATGTAATCTGTTGACTTGCAGTGAAGTCCCAGTGTTTTTGCTCTAATCTAGCATGTAATCTATTGACTTGTCAGTGAAGTCCCAGTGTTTTTGCTCTAATCTAGCATGTAATCTATTGACTTGTCAGTGAAGTCCCAGTGTTTTTGCTCTAATCTAGCATGTAATCTGTTGACTTGCAGTGAAGTCCCAGTGTTTTTGCTCTAATCTAGCATGTAATCTGTTGACTTGCAGTGAAGTCCCAGTGTTTTTGCTCTAATCTAGCATGTAATCTGTTGACTTGCAGTGAAGTCCCAGTGTTTTTGCTCTAATCTAGCATGTAATCTGTTGACTTGCAGTGAAGTCCCAGTGTTTTTGCTCTAATCTAGCATGTAATCTGTTGACTTGCAGTGAAGTCCCAGTGTTTTTGCTCTAATCTAGCATGTAATCTGTTGACTTGCAGTGAAGTCCTCCTAGTGTTCCTGTTGACTGGAAGCGAACTTTATCTCTAAGCTGGCATGTAATCTGTTCACTGACAGTCAAGTCCTAGTGTTTTGACTTAGTCTGGCACATAATTTGTCAACTTGACAGTGAAATTTAGCTCTAATCTAGAAAGTAGTCTGTTCCTTGGCAGTCAAGTCATAGTGTTTTGACTTAGTCCAGCATATAATTTGTTGACTTGACGGTAAAATTTAACTCTTATCTAGCACGTAATCTATTCCTTGGCAGTCAAGTCATAGTGTTTTGACTTAGTCCAGCATATAATTTGTTGACTTGACGGTAAAATTTAACTCTTATCTAGCACGTAATCTATTCCTTGGCAGTCAAGTCCTAGTGTTTTGACTTAGTCCAGCATATAATTTGTTGACTTGACGGTAAAATTTAACTCTTATCTACCATGTAATCTGTTCACTTGACACTTAAATCCTAGTGTTTTAACTTTAGCCCAGCATATAATCTATTCAATGTAATCTATTAATTTAACAATGAAGTCCTAGCTAATGTTTCGCTTGTTGTCCTCACAGGAACCGTCAGATTCAGAATCTGGTACAGAAAGTAGTTCTGTCTCTGGAACTGAGGATCTTGGAAACGAGGCAGATTCTGATGATAATATTCAGGTAAAGATTCTGTACCACTTAATTTTCCGTGTGGGTTGAAAGGCCAAATGTGTCAGGGGGAAAAGTCTAGACCCACTGCTCACTAACAAGTATGTTGTAATAGGCAACTAAAAGGACTTTTTTTTAAATCAGAAGCATTGGGTTGAAAGATGCAAATATAGCAGCCTAGCTATAAAGCCAACTGCCCTTATAAGGATGAGCAAAGAAAAAGAGGAAGTACTACCTACCACCTTTATAAGGATGAGCAAAGAAAAAGAGGAAGTACTACCTACCACCTTTATAAGGATGAGCAAAGAAAAAAAGGAAGTACTGCCTACCACCTTTATAAGGATGAGCAAAGAAAAAGAGGGAGTACTGCCTACCACCTTTATAAGGATGAGCAAAGAAAAAAAGGAAGTACTACCTACCAACTTTTAAAGGATGAGCAAAGAAAAAGAGGGAGTACTGCCTACCACCTTTATAAGGATGAGCAAAGAAAAAGAGGAAGTACTGCCTACCACCTTTATAAGGATGAGCAGAGAAAAAGAGGAAGTACTGCCTACCACCTTTATAAGGATGAGCAGAGAAAAAGAGGAAGTACTGCCTACCACCTTTATAAGGATGAGCAAAGAAAAAAAGGAAGTACTGCCTACCACCTTTATAAGGGTGAGCAAAGAAAAAGAGGGAGTACTACCTACCACCTTTATAAGGATGAGCAAAGAAATAGAGTAAGTACTGCCTACCACCTTTATAAGGATGAGCAAAGAAAAAGAGGAAGTACTGCCTACCACCTTTATAAGGATGAGCAAAGAAAAAAAGGAAGTACTGCCTACCACCTTTATAAGGGTGAGCAAAGAAAAAGAGGGAGTACTGCCTACCCCCTTTATAAGGATGAGCAAAGAAATAGAGTAAGTACTGCCTACCACCTTTATAAGGATGAGCAAAGAAAAAGAGGAAGTACTGCCTACCACCTTTATAAGGATGAGCAAAGAAAAAAAGGAAGTACTGCCTACCACCTTTATAAGGGTGAGCAAAGAAAAAGAGGGAGTACTGCCTACCACCTTTATAAGGATGAGCAAAGAAATAGAGTAAGTACTGCCTACCACCTTTATAAGGATGAGCAAAGAAATAGAGTAAGTACTGCCTACCACCTTTATAAGGATGAGCAAAGAAAAAGAGGAAGTACTGCCTACCACCTTTATAAGGATGAGCAAAGAAAAAGAGGAAGTACTGCCTACCACCTTTATAAGGATGAGCAAAGAAAAAAAGGAAGTACTGCCTACCACCTTTATAAGGGTGAGCAAAGAAAAAGAGGGAGTACTGCCTACCACCTTAATAAGGATGAGCAAAGAAAAAGATGAAGTACTGCCTACCACCTTTAAAAGGGTGAGCAAAGAAAAAGAGGAAGTACTGCCTACCACCTTTATAAGGATGAGCAAAGAAAAAGAGGAAGTACTGCCTACCACCTTTAAAAGGATGAGCAAAGAAAAAGATGAAGAGCCACTTTGTACACATACTGTCTATGGCTACGTTGACAAATCATAAGAACTTTTTTTCTGTCGATATTACGCTATATAGTGTCACTATAACTAATTAACAGAAAATTATAATAGAAATGGCATGTCTTCAGAGAGCTATCAGAGTAAGAAGGAGAGATGACATTAAACATGTTTCACAAAACAGCCTCTCTGAATGCCATTTATAGTCAAATGTAATTATTTTCTGTCCTTAACTTGTGCAGGAATCAATTCTGTTAGCTATGTTTCCCGTAAATAGCCACCATAGCGATCCAGGAATGTGGCTCTTATGGGGAAATGGCACCAGCCAGTGGTTTTGCCTCTTCTCAGGCGATGGGGTTAATTATATAGTATCACTACTTTGTTATGATATTGAAGAAAGTGTTAACCATTTTCTTTGTGTTTCAGGAGGATCTGAGTAGCAGTTCTCGGCCATCAAGTCCTAGCTCTGTAGAACGTGGGTTCAAACCTTTACAGCCTCATCCACTCACACCAGGAGCCCACCCAGTCACACCCGCAGCAGGGACCCCAGTTAACGTCACCAGCTCATCCCAGGACATTGCAGTCAGCAGCCCAGTGTTTTGTGGACCTTCAAGTGTTCCCACACAGTCTTCGACCACAGTGATATCAGGCCAGCCTGTGCCAACATCACAGGCACACCAGCAGTTGAGCTCGCTGACAGTTTTACCAGCTTCAGCATCTTCTGAGACATTGGCTATACCGCCTCCATCATTGTCACCACTGTCAGCGCTAGCAGCATCCAACAGCAGCGGTAATCTTCATTTGCGGCTGCCGCAGCAGGCATCACCAATACCGGCGCTGAAACCTAGTTTTGGATTACCTGGCCACATTTCTAGTGTCGGAAGTAAACCCGGTAGCCACGCCAGCAACCTTGTTTCAAACTCGTGCAGTTTGTCATCCCCATTGGTGATACCTACGCCAAGCCGAGCATCATCCACAGGGACTTTTATTCCACACGCGGAACTGCCACTTCCTGCAAACTCACTTGGCATATCAGCGAATATAAACAGCCCTGTCACTGCAGTTGTCAAGACAACTGTGGCTTTGACATCTGTGGATTCATTTTTGTCGACGTCAGCATCATCTAGCAGTCGCCTTCCACTCGGTGGACAAGCAAATACTGCCACAAGCAGCGCAATTGTGAACACAAGCTCTGCCAGCTCCGGTTGCAAGATGCAGGATCAATCTGAGGAACAGGACAAAAAGCCGATTGTGCCGCCACCTGGCTCATTTTTACCTCCACCGGGGGCAGTTGGAGTTCCCTTTGCACCGTATCACTCATATTATTATCCCCACAGCGGGGCAACTCATATATCACATTTTCATCCATCGGTGGGTATGTCAGTATCCTCGGCTGCGGGTGGAATTCCACCTCCTCCAGTTCCAAGTTTAGTGCCAATTAAGAAAGAACCACACTCACCTCCTCCACCTCTTAAATCGGCAGACAAAGCTACAGACTTATCATCATCATCATCCACAGCCTTGTTGCACCCACTTCATCGGTCTCATCCGGAGAAATCCGCCAAGCTGCCACATGGATTCTCTCAAACAGGTCTGACCACGACAGCGCCACCCCCTCTTACTGTCATAGAGCATAGGGATGGTTCCAAACCAGGAGAAGCCTCCAAACCGGATCTATATTCCAAAGACAGTACTCGGGGTCATTCTTCTTCACCCCTCCGTACCGACACCCATCCGGCCCCCGGATTACACAGGGAATCCAGGTTAGACAGTAACCTCAGTGTGTTACGAGAATCTAGAGAAATTGGGCTGGTAGGGGGAGCCACATCCTCCCAGCCAGGACAGCAGCTTCCGTTACTATCTTCTATCAAAGAAGAACCGAGGACTTTACCAGCAGCATTCCAACCTTACTCCCATCATCCGTCGCCATCGGTGTCAAGCAGCCTCACATCACATCATCCGCCTAGCTCAGTTCTCCAAGTCCCGCAGCCTAGTTTGTCTTCTGACCAGCCACTCGGCCAGTCCATGATCTCCCAGTCAATGATGTCAGACTCGTCACTGGTGACATCCCGATCGGCCCCAAGCCTGGACATTGACAGTGTGAAAATTGAGCAGAATGTTGAGGATGAAATTGATATAGAAGATGAAGATGATGACAGTCGCAGTGGATCTACCACACCAGGACCAACTCCTACAGTTTGCAACAGGGAAATCTATAAAAGTAATTCTGCAATGTGAGTATGGATTTTAAAAAAAAAATTTTTTTTTTTAAGACAAGCACACTGACACAGTAAAAGGCTGGGACACCTGCACTAAAACATATTTTCTATGCAAAATAGGGTGCCCCTCAAGGGGTCTGATTCTGGTATTAGAGCATAATAATAACATTACTGTGCTGAATGGTAACTAAATAAATATAATACATGTGAAATAATATGACATGTAAACAGATACCTGAAAAAGTGTTTATATAACAGCACTTGCAAGCTAGTTAAAAGTACATTTAAAAAAATCTTCTTGGCATTTGGTTTTGTATGCTCAGATAAGACCATCAGGGGGGTTGTCTTTAGAAACTTGTATGTCAGTAGCAGGTCCTTCACGATTCATAGCTTTCTACACACACTTTGCTTTTGTGTCTTTTTAAAGTTGTATGTAGAGTGGGCAGGTCTGAAGAATGTGCTCAGGTGTTTTTGGTTCTATTTGACGGGCACACTTTGGGGACTGTACAATCTTTTTTTTTTAATCCATGTGGTAGTTGAGCCTGCAGTGTCCTTTTCGTAGACGGAAAATTGTTTTATGTTGCTTTCTGTTGAGTCTGATGGTGGGGTCTTGTGGATGTTTACTGTTTGTTCTCTCCACGATTCCTTGTATTTTCCCTTGATAAGTGTTCTGATTTCTGGCAATGACAATGGATGGGTGTGTTGTTTCTCCTTTTTTTTTTTTTTGCAAGTCTGTCTGCTAACTCATTTCCTGGTATGCCGCAGTGAGCCGGGATCCACTGGAGAACGATTTGATTTTGTTTTGTGAGTCTGTTTACCTGGCAGGTCAGGTCTCTCTCAATCTTGTCTTGTGGATCCCTCTGAGTCACCTGGAGGACTGACATGCAGCCACAAAGAATTATTTTTTTTTTCCCAAAAAATAGATCATGCATCTTGGCAACTCATGGACTCCTATTCGGTCCTTGAAGGAAAAATTGCAGCCTCTAAACTGAAATGGTAGATACAAATTTTTAGAATCCTGTGGACCAGGAAGAAGAAAAACGCTGACATTCTGTGTGATCTTAGCATCGAGGAAAATTGGCTCATAAAAAGCATCCTGTTCTGAAAGCTATGAAAGCACATACGGCTGGAGAATTTAATGAAGAAGGAGAGACTTTCAGGCTGAAGAGACCGACCTTCTGTAAAAGGACATACTGGTCTTAAGGATGAGTTTGGCCAGGAACGTGGTCTGAGAGAAGGTGCTGGTAGGAGGTGGTGAAACATGACATGCCCACCACATTAATTACCATAGTAAATGTTGAGAGATGATAATATAATAGCATGGTTAGAAACTTGATTCTCAACTCCGTGGTCAAGGATTCAGATCCGCCTCAAAACAGCTTTTTCACTCCTTTAATATTGACCTTGGCTCAAAGGTTGGCCCAGCCTAAAATGGGTATTATGTAATGTCCTGGGATTTAAAGGCGGCAGTGATGATGTTGACAACATCACCCACAGAATACTGGTTGGTCGGTAAAAATGAGTTAAGAATTTACATCACAGCACTCAGGGCATCCCCATGTATGCTCCGTCCTCATCTTCAGCAGCCAGTGCAGAGTTCTAGTACTGACGGTACTGGTAACAATCTGGTTATATAGTCTGTGTTGCTTTTTCATCTGAGGGTAGTGAGATGACCAGACCCTCTGGTTACACCAATGTGCCTCACATTCTCTTCAGGCCATAATAATCGTGTTTCTCAACTGATTCCTTTGCTTGTTCCCACAGGGCCTTGACCACATCTGCCTTGTCATGTATCAATTCACCACCCAGTGGTGCAAATCCAGCCAATATGTCTGCCTTTTCATTATCCACTTTGCCGATATGGCCTAGAGAAAAGATCTAAAGTATGCTCACTCTCTGTGACCTTTCCAGTGAAGTTTTCCAGTCTGCTCGAAGCATCCCTGTCTTCACCTTCCTTTCTCAGCATACTTTCAGAGTCTGTTACAGTTACATCATTTGTGTGCATCTTGTTCACTAGACACCGGAGAGCTGCAGTTACCGCCTCCACCTCCATTCTCACTCGATAAAAATAAGTCTAGCATCATATGTCCTATCATTCCTCTTACCCCCACGGGACTTCTGGTTATACCTGGCTGGTGTTGTCGTTACTGGTGTAGTCGTTGCTGGTGCCCTAACTATAACTTTTTTGGAGGTTGAATATGGTATCAGGGATTTCCCTTGTTAGTCTGCCATTCATGTGGAAATTTGTCAAATCTCAGGATGGTATGGTTGTTATTGTTGGTTTCAGGGATTTCTCTGTTAGTCTGCCATTCATGTGGAAATTTGTCAAATCTCAGGAAGGTATGGTTAATGTTGGTTTCAGGGATTCCTCTGTTAGTCTGCCATCCAGGTTGAAATTGGTTAAATCTCAGGATGATGTGGTTCTTATCATTGGTTTGCCCTCGTCGGCTGTAAACCGGGCGGAAGTCCTGGTTGTTCCTCCATATCTGTACTTCAGCTTGTTTCAGGACCTGAGTTTTGCAAGTGCATCTGTTTGACAGATCTGGCTTACTTGTATGCAGACTGTTGTTTTCTTGCTTCTCAGGCAGATGCACTCTTGACTTTAAAGGAAGCCTCCAATTAGTCAACTCTTACGACATGCTTGTTGGGGAGGCAGTGGGTCTATCCTTGTTTTCCCCACAGTGTGATCCTGGAACCCACACGGAGTATGGTTAACCTAGAGGGAGCATCGGAGAAGGGACAAACTGGTCAATCAATCAGCATGCCTGATGCGAAAAAGATGTAAAAAAAACTATGATCTTTTACTTTTATATGATTAGAATTACTGATGAAGAAACGAGAACTAATAGAAGTTCAACAAGATAAAAGAATATACTTGGGACAGCTGTATTCCATATTTAACCTAAACTAGTATCAACTGGCGCATACATACACAGCATATTAATCCCCACCCTATTCTACTACTCACAACAAATCAGAAAGGAAAATTAGTAACTCTGGAAATAAGATGTCTCAGAGACACTGTGTGTGTAACCAGAGGAGATAAAAATTAGCAATGAAACCACACGAGATGAAAATTCGGCATATAACCAATACTAAATTCAGACCAATAACAAGGTGGAAAAAGAACACTAGAACAAAATCTGTAACAGTATCAGGCACTCCTCCAAGTAGTGACCCCAAATTGTCTAGGTCAAAAATCTACCCTTACAGGGCCTCAATAGGTCATCTAATATAGCTAAAAACTTATTTGCCCTAAATACATCCTAATATTACATATTACTGAGGTCCTGTAAGGGTAGGTTTTTGACCTAGATAATTGGATCTGTTATTTGGAATAGTGCCTAGTATCAAGTGTATAGTTGAGGTGGTCAGAAGAACAAGAACCAAAACTGTTTTCATTAGCACCCAATGCTTTAAGAGAGACAATAAAGCAAATGAGTATACATACATACATACATACATACACACATAAATACATAAATACACACACACACACAAATACATGCTCACGCATAAACACACATATGTGTGTGTAATTATGTTTTTAAAAATACCTAAAAGGAGAATATGGGGGGGGGGGGGGTGTTATTCCCCATACCAATTGTTGGTGTGAACCCCTGAGTTCTAACATCTTTGCACTTTATTGGACAGTAATTATTATTATTTTTTTTAAATGTAGTTGCCGTAGTATGGTAAATACAGCTGTATCTCTTCCTTATGCAGATTTGTGAAAGTCTTCGACAGAGGTGACAGAAATCAGTGCTCACGAACTGACTTCATATTCCGGCCACTTCCTGACTCCAACTTGGCCAAGAAGAGGGAAGACAGAGTGAGGAAGTCCTCTCACTCCTCCAGCATCAAAGAAGAGAAGGCAAGTGTTGTGTTGTACTTTTTATATAAACAAGCCACTAGTATTCACAACAATTCAAACCCAGGTGATCTGATTATCTTATACAGATGGTTTGGTGGTGAGAGGAAAAAGAAGTGCCTGTGGGTTTTTAGCGAAAGCCAATGGAAACTCTTAAGTGCAAGACAGCCTAGCATACGACATCACAACATCTAGCATGAGAATGGAGGTGGTAACTGCAGCTCTCCGGTGGCTAGAGAACAAGATGCATACACATGTCGTAATTGTAACAGACTCTGAAACATGCTGAGAAAGGTGAAAACAGGGATGCTTAGAGCAGAGTGGCAAGTTTCACTGGGAAGGTCACGGGTAGTGAGCATACTTTAGATCTTTTTCTCCAGACCATGCCGACGTAGTGGGTAATGAACAGGCAGACTTATTGGCTATATCTGCACTACTGGGTGGTGAATTGATACATGACAAGGCAGATGTGGTCAAGGCCCTTTGGGAACAACCAATTGAATCAGTAAAGAAAGAATAATATGGCATGGAGAGAATGATACCCCTGGGTGTAACCAGAGGGTCTGGTCGGCTCACTACCCTCAAAGAAAAAGCAAGACGGACATATAACCAGATTGTGACCGGTACCATCAGTATTGGAACTCTGAGCTGGCTGCTGAAGAGGACGAAGCACATATGGGAATGCCCTGAGTGCTGTGATGTCAATTCTTGACTCAGTTCAACTCAACTGTGGTAATCTTTCTTCTTCCCTTGGTGTGTTGTATGATTTATAAATTAAGTCACTCAGGTGATCTTTCTTCTTTGTGTATCCCCCAAATTGAGCATAAGCTGTCTTTTAGGACCAGCTTATGCCCAAAGAATTCAGATATGTTGGCCAAAAGGCATAAATGTTGCAGCTGTGCTGTAAACAGGCAGAATGTAGTTTGTAACAAAAGCTTAGAAAATGAAGAAACAAAAGATTCTTTCTCATGAACTTGCTTAACCATGTTACCCCAGGAAGGCTAAATGTAGTCACATCTGGTTGTGATACAGTCCCATAAATGCTGATGTCTTGCTATTTCTGCAGGACCTGTTCTTGCAAAGCCAAGTTAAATGGCATTGGTTCTGTGTGTGCCTGTGCAGTGTTTAGAAGACCCGGATGTGAAAATATAAACTAAAGGGTTTTCTTATGACCACAGTGGCTTTTTAACTCTTTCAGGACCACATTTTTTCTGGTGTTTATACAGCATTAATGTTGAGCAGAATTTTATTTACTACAACACAACAAAGCTAAAACCTTTCTGAAAAAAAAACCGTATTGGCTGTATTGGGATATATAATATATCAAATTAAATTTAATTTGAGTGCAGAATAAATCTAAACAATTTAAATTTCAGTATAACAACAAAATATTATTAAAATCACACAACATTCAAGGATGAAAATTATTGACATAAAAAATTTTGCGCCCACCTTATTTTTTACTTGTTTAACAACACTGCTATCCTACTCTAAGAATGCACATGCCTTCTCTGTTCAATTATGTATTAGTAGCTAGTCTTTCCTTGAAACAGTTATGATCATTTTTGTATGGCATGCCATTTTCACAACTCAAAATTGGAAAAACAGCTGATCGAAACATTGATCTGATTGAAATATTTTGTGAAATTTTCATATCCTTAATTATTGTTAGTAGATTTGTCACTTAGATATCAATCATAATATCAAGACTGTTTTCATCAACGATAGAGCAGTATGAACAGTTCTAGACCTTTGTCCTTACCATTTAGCATAGAAAAATCAAGTAAATTTTTTTATCCCATATAAATAAATTTTTTTTTTTAAATCAGACAAATTATGCACCAACTACGATGAACATTGCAAACAAAATGACTTCATGTTGTTAATCCTAATTGTTCAAAAACGTGTTCATAAAAGTTTGTTTTCCCTACAAACATGAACAAAATTAGAGTGTTTCTATCATGATCCAGTATACTGGCGATACGTCTTTAAGGGATAGACTTAATCGCCAGTATACTGGCTAAACATCCGTAAAGAGTTAAAGCTAAATTGATGTCAAATTTTCCCATAATCCTCAGTGATAGAGGTTACTGGATGCATTGTTTTTGTCGAGGCCTGAATAAATCTATTCCATTTCATGCTTCACCACTCTGTATGTGTTTATTGATTACCCCTTTTTAAAAATTTTAAACGTTTTGAAAAAAAAATATAATAATTAAAATCTAGGCAGTAAATTGGTTTAATGCAAAGATAAAAATATTTGTTCCTAATTTGTCCTGTTAGATCAACATTTTCCAATTTTAACTTGTCCATTTTTTTTCTTTTCACCTTCAGAAAAGAGTGGAAACCCCTCCTCGAGCAACGTCCGCTTCTGAGGGTCAGAAGTCATCATCTGGCAGCAGCAGTCTTAGCAGCAGCAGCAATAGCAGCAGCAACCACCCGCCCCATGGTATGGGAATCGGCGGCGGGTATGCCGAACGACACACACCACGCTCATTTGCAGACATGCCGGCCCTTAGGCAACTTCACGAATATGCCAGGCCACACGTTTACGGTATTTTTCTTGTTTCTTCTAATGCTAAATAATAATTTTCCCCATATGGGTTCTGGGACCTGAATTGGGGTGGAAAAAGTGGGGGATAGAATAGCCTCACTAACAAGAATGTCGTAAAATGGGACTAATGAAGGGTTTGCTGAAATTGTTGGACTTGTTGAGTCAGCAGGCATGGATATCTCAGCCTATCTGTGAACCACAACAGGACATCCCAATTGCCCTTTTCAAGGGAGACTAGAAGAATATTCAGTGAGTGTAATGTCTCCACAGAGGAGGGGTTGGCTGCTGTGAATAAAAAGGCTGACTAACTTGAGCTAAGCCCTTTGTAGGCTTGATTATGATTGGTTAGACATTGCCACTAGTTTTCTACAGGATAGGCTAGTTATAAACTTGACCCACCCATTACTCCAATTCCCCTCAATACTCCTCCTCCTTTTGTAGAAATGTTTCTTTTCCTCCTTCATATTCTTCTTCTTCTTCCTTTTCTTCTTCAGCACCCCGAACACTATGGGGTTCATTGTTGTATATATCACCAGCCTCTATTTGTTTCTGTAATTTGCCTTTTTCTACACTGTATGTTACATCATAGACTTTGTTCACTCACTAACCCACCCACATAGGACGGCAGGTTGCCTTTTTGGTATTTACTGCTGTTTGAATAATAGTGTTGTAGAGTACGCTTTGCAACATTCATTTCATAGTGTTGTAGAATACATATTGCAATATTACCACACTGTTTTAGAGTACATATTGCAACATTCATTTAATAATGTTGTACAGTACTTAATACAACATTAAATTCATACTGTTGAAGAATACCTATAAGAACAATAATTTTATAGTGTTGCATAGTGCATACTGCAAAATATCTTGTTTAATAGTGTAAATTACATATTGCATCATTTATTTTATAATGTTGTAAGTACATATTTCAACATTAATTTCAAATTGCTGTAAAGTAACATATTGCAGCATTTATTTCATAGTTTTGTAGAGTACATATTTCAACATTCGTTTCATAGGGCTGAATATATATTGCAGCATTTATTTTAAAGTGTTGTAGAATACATATCACAGCATTCATAGTGTTGTAGAGTACATATGGCAACATTAATTTCATAATGCTGTTGAGTACATATAGCAACATTTATAATGCTGTAAGGTGCATATTACAACATTTGCACTGTTTTAGAGTACATATTGCAACATTCATATAATGTTGTAATGTACATGTTACAACATTCATTTTATACTTTTATAGAATACATATTAGAACATTAATTTTAAAGTGTGGGATAGTACATATTGCAACATGTCTTGTTTAGTAGTGTAAAGTACATATTGCATCATGTCTTGTTCAGTAGTGTAAAGTACATATTGCATCATTCATTTCATAGTGGTGTAGAGCACAGATGTCAACATTAATTTCATATTGCTATAGAGTTGCATATTACAGCATTTATTTTAAAATGGTGTAGTTTACTTATTGCAACAATCATTTCAAAGTGTTGTAATGTGCGTATTGCATCATTCATTTCATAGTGCTGATCATTTCATAGTGCTGAAGAGTACAACATAATGCAGCATTTATTTTCAAACATTGAAGAATAGATATCGCAACATTAATTTCATATTAGATCACATATTTCAGCATTTCATAGTGTTGTAAGATATATATTACAACATTCACACTGTTTTAGAGTACATATTGTAATATTAATTTAATAGTGTTGTGGAATACAAATTACAACATTTCACTTGACATTGGTGTCTTTATACTCTTATTTCCAGCAGCAGCGAGCCTGGATGACATATCATTGCTTCGATTCACAGGCCAGGACCTAACCAGACCTCCGTACTCTTTGGGAGCTCTGCAGCACCATCCCCATATGGATCCTTTGATGGGCTACAGGCTTGGTGGCATGTATCCTCCAGGCTCCCGGGAGCGGCTGGAGATGGAGTTGGAGAGGGACAAAAGGGAAAGAGATGCCAGAGAGCGGGAGATGAGGGAAAGAGAACTGAGAGATTTGGAACTGAGGGAGAAGATGAAACAAGATATGGAGTTGAAACCCGGTCAGTTTCTTCATCTGTTAGGTAAACTAGATGTTTAGTTAAACTAGAGCTAAATAAGATACAGCGTTAAATAAGTTAGGAAGTAAACTGAAATGTGGAGTTGATCAAGGTATGAAGTAAACTAAGATAAAGAGTTGAACAAGATATGGAGTTGAATAAAATGAGATGTAGAGTTGAACAAAACTTGTTTGCAGCAACAACAAAAAAACACAAAAAAAATTTGAGAGATTATATAGGGTTGTCTAGTGTATCCTGCATGCTCTGCTTCTGCGAATGTTGATCACTATCTATGTTATGTTACATGTTTTCTAGTGCATTCTCTACAAATTTTGGTCGGTACCTGTATATGTTACATGTTGTCTAGTGCTTTTTCTACAAATATTGGTCAGTACCTGTGTATGTTACATGTTGTCTAGTGCTTTTTCTACAAATATTGGTCAGTACCTGTGTATGTTACATGTTGTCTAGTGCTTTTTCTACAAATATTGGTCAGTACCTGTGTATGTTACATGTTGTCTAGTGCTTTTTCTACAAATATTGGTCAGTACCTGTGTGTGTATGTTACATGTTGTCTAGTGCTTTTTCTACAAATATTGGTCAGTACCTGTGTATGTTACATGTCTACATGTTGTCTTGTGCATCCTCTGCATATGTTGGTCAGTACCTGTATATGTTACCTGTTGTCTAGTGCATCCTCTGCAAATGTTTGTGGTCAGTGCCTGTATATGTTACCTGTTGTCTAGTGCATCCTCTACAAATGTTAGTGGTCAGTGCCTGTATATGTTACCTGTTGTCTAGTTCATCCTCTACAAATGTTAGTGGTCAGTGCCTGTATATGTTACCTGTTGTCTTGTTCATCCTCTACAAATGTTTGTGGTCAGTGCCTGTATATGTTACCTGTTGTCTAGTTCATCCTCTACAAATGTTTGTGGTCAGTGCTTGTATATGTTACATGTCTACATGTTGTCTAGTGCATCCTTTGCATATATTGGTCAGTACCTGTATATATTATCTGTTGTCTAGTACATTCTTTTAATCCTATCAGACTGAACGTAACTGACCCCTTTACCTGGGCTCCTGAGCATTTAAAAGAAAAAAAAACCAACATGATATAGAAAAATGTTAGTTACATTCATACGAGTGGTTAGAATAAGATGGGACTTGGAGACATTGTAGAAAATATGTCTACCTTTTATCTATGACCAATATTTCACTTTTGTGTGCCAATCCACCCAGCTGGTTGAGCCTTGTTTCACGCACAGGTACTTCTTGCAAAGTTAGCCCCACATAAGGCTCTTCACCTTCCTGAATGGATTGTCTTTGTAAGACACTCCAGGATTTGCTTGTTGTACCTGGAGTTCTTGTCGTTGCACACAACACAGATATGATTAGATGATATTCCATTGGGGAAATCTCTAGAAAGTGATTGCCTGAGGTCATCAGTGTAGGGCAGGGTTCTCTTTATGGGTGGCGGTGGGCTGATGTCCTGTATCCACTGATAAGTTGCAGGCACAGTTTCTGAATATATCTGGTGAAATGGCTTTTCTTTAGTCAGTCAGTTCACTCTCCTCTGGGATATGTGTAGAATGTTCATTGGGCCTTTCCCATCATGGCTGAAATTCAGAACTGTATTTGGTTATACAAAACTCCTTGTCCAACCTTCATCACCACCTAGATCTCCCCCATCAGCTGTCTGAGGGACATGCACCCCTTCTCTTACTACTAATCTAGTTCTGGATCTATAAGGTTCAAGATTCTCCTCATCACTCCAGTTCTCAGTGCCTGTGTCATATGGACTGGAAACGTATTCTTGATGAAATTCTGACTCCTCAGAGTCTGAATCAACCAAAGTATCGATCATCTTTTTGAACTGAAAAGCCTAGACCTACTTTGCTTTCCTGTTGAAGTGCTTGGTTCATCAGCTGCTCCTTTCATTGTGAATTTTCAGTATTTTTTCATGTTAAGCCACACAAAGTCATTTCTAGCACACAGGGGCAGACATTAGCAATGGCTAAGCATGAGGTTTGACCACGATTGGTTGGTTATATTTAGTTTGTGACATTGTTTTCTCTCACGTACTAGGCAAAGTACTGAAAATTAGGTAGAGGTATAGCAGCAGATTCAGAAATTTACGAAAAATCAGTAAAGCGATCTGATAGAGTTAAGACATCCCCTCATGCGAGTGTTAGTCAGTACCAGTTGTATATTATATGTTGTCTAGTGCATCATATCTAAAAGTGTTGGCCAGTACCTGTGTATTTATCAATGTCTAAGACATCCTGTTTGCAAATGTTGGCCAGTACCTGTTATATAAATATTCTTTAATACATCCTGTAAGGCAGTGATTCTCAACATTCCTAATGCCAAAACCCTTTAAATACAGTTCCTCATGTTGTGCTGACCCCCTAACCATAAAATTATTTTCACTGCTACTTCATAACTTCACTGAACGTGTATTTTCAAATGGAAGGGTCGTTCAACCCCCAAAGGAATCGTGACCCACAGATTGAGAACCACTGCTCTAAGGCTTACTTCTATGAGTTTTAATCAGTATCTGTCGTTCTATTAAATGGCCTCATAAGTTCCCTAACAGCAGATATTTGTGTGCCTTTTAGGTCTGGAGCGACTCCTGCCTCCAGGAGCAGCTAGTCAACTGACAGACCCGAGCTGGCTGGACCTTCAGAGACGTATGGGCTTCCCACCAGGGGCTGGGGGCCACTTGCTGCCTCATGGGGCTCCCTCTGTCAGTGCTGCGGGAGCCCACCTTCCAGGAGTGTACCCACCGGTCAGCTTGGCCAGTGATCTGCTATCCAGAGAGAGGGATAAGTTAGATAGACTAGGTAAGGTCATTGTGTGTCCAGCAGAAATGTAAGTTAAATTAGGTAATTCTGTGTCCTTGCAAGGTATAAAAAAGATTAGGTTAGGTAATTCTGTGTTTGGCAGTGGTATAACTAGATTAGGTAAGATCGTTGTGTGTCCGTTAGTAGTGTGGATTAGGTAAGGTCGTGTGTCTGTTAGTAGTGTGGATTAGGTAAGGTCGTGTGTCTGTTAGTAGTGTGGATTAGGTAAGGTCGTGTGTCTGTTAGTAGTGTGGATAAGGTAAGGCCGTGTGTCTGTTAGTAGTGTGGATGAGGTAAGGTCGTTGTGTGTCTGTTAGTGTGGATTAGGTAAGGTCGTGTGTCTGTTAGTAGTGTGGATTAGGTAAGGTCGTTGTGTGTCTGTTAGTAGTGTGGATTAGGTAAGGTCGTGTGTCTGGTGGTGGTATGTTGGATTATATTAGGTCATTGTAAGTCTAGCAGTATTGTGTGTCTAACAGTGGTATAAATAAATTAGGTAAAGTTGTTCTATGTCCAGCAGTGTTGTCTGCTGGATTACATAAGGCCATTGTATGTTCAGCAGTGGTATTAGTTAAGGTCATTGTATGTTCAGTGTGGTATCAGTTGGATTAGATAAGGCCATTGTATGTGCAGCAGTGGTATTAGTTAAGGTCATTGTATGTGCAGCAGTGGTATTAGTTAAGGTCATTGTATGTGCAGCAGTGGTATTAGTTAAGGTCATTGTATGTTCAGCAGTAGTATCAGTTTGATTAGATAAGGTCATCGTATGTCCAGCAGTGGTATCAGTTGGATTAGATACAGACATTGTATGTCCAGCAGTGGTATCAGTTGGATTAGATAAAGTTATACGGTCATTGTATGTCCAGCAGTGGTATCAGTTGGATTAGATAAGGTTATTGTATGTCCAGCAGTGGTATTAGTTGGATTAGATACAGACATTGTATGTCCAGCAGTGGTATCAGTTGGATTAGATAAGGTCATTGTATGTCCAGTAGTGGTATCAGTTGGATTAGATAAGGTCATTGTAAGGTCATTGTATGTCCAGCAGTGGTATTAGTTAAGGTCATTGTGTGTCCAGCAGTGGTATCAGTTGGATTAGATACAGACATTGTATGTCCAGCAGTGGTATTAGTTGGATTAGATACAGACATTGTATGTCCAGCAGTGGTATCAGTTGGATTAGATAAGGCCATGTGTCCAGCAGTGGTATCACTTGGATTAGATAAGGCCATGTGTCCAGCAGTGGTATCAGTTGGATTAGATAAGGCCATGTGTCCAGCAGTGGTATCAGTTGGATTAGATAAGGTCATTGTATGTCCAGCAGTGGTATTAGTTAGATAAGGATATTGTGTGTCCAGCAGTGGTATCAGTTAGATAAGGATATTGTGTGTCCAGCAGTGGTATTAGTTAGATAAGGCCGTGTGTCCAGCAGTGGTATCAGTTAGATTAGATAGTCATTGTATGTCCAGCAGTAGTATCAGTTAGATAAGGATATTGTGTGTCCAGCAGTGGTATCAGTTAGATAAGGATATTGTGTGTCCAGTAGTGGTATCAGATAAGGTCATTGTATGTCCAGCAGTGGTATCATTTGGATTAGATAAGGTCATTGTATGTTCAGCAGTGGTAACAGTTAGAATAACAGTAAAATTTTGGCTAAAGAAGATCACAGATGAAGAAATGAGGAGTAAAACAAAATGTTCATCACTTGGAAATGTTATAGGCAGAAAATGGAGAGTTGCTTTGACGTATAAACTAAATGCTATGTGATACTTTTGGAAAGGGCAGCTCATCTGTGGAGCACAGATGGAAGAAGATGTGAATGACCGAAAGAAAACTAGTGAGGGAAATGGAATGTAAAATGTCAAGGGATACTACAGGATGAAAGCAACAGTTTTAGTCACTTGTGAATGCCTTATGCGTCTGCAGTGACATGAAGAGCATTTAAATAAATCTTAGATCAGTGTCGTTTTCTGCCCCCCATTGTGGGGGAGAACAAGAATAAACCCACTGCTTCCCCAACAAGCATGATGTAAGAGTTGACTAATTGGGAGCTTCTTTTGAAGTCAGAATACATCTGCCTAAGAGGCGAGGAACCAACAGTCTGCACACAAATGTATCTAATCTATAAAACGGATGTGCACGCAACATTCATGTTCTGGAACAAGACAAATGTCCAAAGGTGGGTGAACACCAAGAACTTTTCGACAGAGTTTACAGCCAGTGAACATGAAGAAAAAGTATATCTTAGATTTATCCTGGGATGCCCAGGTACTGAACTTTGCTTTGATGCTGCACCAGGACTAAGGCTGACACTGGTCGAAACCTATCTACATCTGTCCGCAGTCATCCTAAAAACAGCTTCAAAACTGGGGGCTTGGCCAACATAAAAAGGATTAACGTTGCCTTCAAAGTCTGCATGCATCTGCCTGAGAGGCAGGGAACCAACAGTCCACACACACACACGCGCGTCAGATCTGAAAAGTGGATTTACATGCAAAATTCAAGTCCTGGATGCTATCTTCTTGTGAGAGTTCCAGGGCCCCATTTGGGGTAGGGTAGATAGACCCCTCTCCCCCTAAACACGCATATCATAAAAGGTGACTAAAGGGTGTTCTCTTTGAAGTGAAGTCAAACTGCACCTGCCTGAGAGACGAGAAACCTTCAGTCTGCATACAAGTAAGTCAGATCTGTAAAATGAAAATGCTGCCAGACTCAAGTTCTGTAATAAGACTAAAGTCCAGAATTAAATGAACTACCAGAACTCACCAGAGTTTACACCTGGTAAAAGCTAACAAGGAGAAGATCAGAGTCTAGAAGTGGACAAACAACTAGAATTTCCACTGTAATTTACAACCGGTGAATGTGAGGAAGGAGAAGATTAAGGGACAACCTAAGACCAGAAGTGTTTTTCACCCATGTTTACAGCTGGTGAATGCAAAGAAGAGAATTTGAACTAGAAATATCATTTTGACTATTATGATTATTTAACTTGTTTATGTCCAAATTGTTCTTTTACAGTTGCAGTGTTTGCTAAATATTATGTTGAATGAAGCAATCTTTATTTCATGCTAAATTTATACCTATAACATGACACGATACAGGATTGTCAGTCAGCCTGCCTCAGTTCGCTGCAGATATGTCCTACGCCAGTGCGGTAGAGCGGATGTCCCAGGAGCGTCATGTGGCGGAGAGAGAGAGGGACCGGGAACGCTTTGCAGCCCTGGCCAACGACCACGTGGCCCGTCTACAGCTGGCAGGGGCTGCTGCTGCGGCGGCGGCGGCCACACAGCATGCCCACACGCACACACACGCTCATTCGCACACGCATCTACACTTGCATCAGCAAGAAGTGGCCCACGCTCAGGCTGTGGCCCATGCACAGGCCCACGGTTTGGCCCCACCAGCCTTCCCTCACCCATTCCCTGCTCATTCCCCGCACATGTACCCGCACCACCATCTGGCTGGAGCTCCAGGTATAGTAGTAGTTGCCCTTCAACACACGGGGAGGTAAAACTTTGGAGTGCAGTCAAACCGTCTAAATATAGAGAAATGTAGCTTCCGTCAGGTCTACATTCCCTTACCATTATTTTAATAGCAGATAATGCCTAGAATTTTATCCTCTGAGCACGGAGCTAGTCTGTATCTCATATCTGATTACTTTAGTTTATTTCTGTTGACTTACTTGGAGTAACAATTATTCTTATTTTTTAAAATCATTATTTTTATTTTAATATCTGTTTTCTGCCGAATTGCTCAGAGATTTGGCTGAAACAAATTATGGTTGTCTCTTTCTAGAGTAATGGTATTTCATCATATTTTGTGTGTGTTTGTGTGTGTGTTATTCCCTCTGGTAGCTTTGACTCCAAGAGTTCAGTTTAGGTTACATAATCCACTCTTTTTTTTGTTTTTCCAAGGCATTAAATGTCCCCTCCCACACAAATACAGAAGATTGTATTGTTAATTAAGTGTGGAAGTGTTTGATTCACTTGTCCCCCTGCTGGGTGGCAATCAAACTGTCAGTTGCTGTTGTTTCCAAGCCCTGGAGAATTCTGCCGTCCAGTTATTTAGTTTTGTTACCGTAACAGCTAGATACTTAGAAACATGACCTCTCTCTCTTGCTTGTAGATTTCTTTGCTGCTTTCATTGGCATCATTCTCATTGCTTTTGAAGGATCATAGTTTGTCAGTTCTGGGGGCCTGTATTATATTTGTTAAAAATATTTTATTTGTTCAAGACCAAGAAATGTTCAATCTGGTATCTTGTAGAATAAAACATATGCAGACACACACGTACACACACAGATGAAGCAGCGAGCTCAAGTAAACCCAAGAGGATGAATAAATAGCGTTGCAGTTACCTTTAAGAATTTAAAAGTTGAAGGCTGTTGTACGTTTCCCCTTTTTGAAAGAAGAAAAAAGAAACACCTCCAAAAACAAATCCATACTCACTTATGCCCCTTGTCGTTGCAGATGGTGCTGCTCTTAGTCCCAACAGTGCCTCCTCTTCTACATCTGAGCAGCTAACGAGTCGAATGGTTTATCAATATTACTCCCAACGCCTCACTAGTGAACAGCATGTATTTATGCAGCGAGCAGTCAACGAATGCTACCTCCGCACAAAACCGGAGACTCGACCTATTGTTGACCCCAACCACTTGATCTATCAGTTCTCTCGTAAGTCCACATGTAACTGCTACCCCCCCCCCCCCCTTTTTTTTTTCCTTCTTCCAGCATCTGAAAATAGCACCTCCCTCATGTTTGAACCTACCCACAGCTTGGCAGACAAATTATGTTTTTATTTTGTTTCCTTTCATATGTGCACATTTTAATTTTTTTTTAAATTTTCCGCAATTTTATTTCCTTTTGGTTGGATTGTTTTGTTGTAGCTTTAGACGTGTATGCTGTCTGCTGCTTGCTCCTCCCCCTCCATCGTATATAGTCCTCACGTTTTGTTTTTTAGCATCTGTAGCTGAAATCTGAGTCTATTTTATGGCTTCTTTGCTTGGTGTTTACTCTTTTTTTTTGGTTCAGTTACTGTTTTGGTTTGCTGACATCCTTTCTGGCAAGTTAGTTTCTGGCACCTGCTGAAATTAAATGTTTTTAGTTAAAAAAAATTTAATTTTTGGATGAACTCACAAGAAATGAAGGTAAAGGAAAGGGTGATCATTATTTATTAATTTAACCATCATTATCCCTGCAGCATAGAAACTGGTTAATTTCAACATAAATTGATTCTAATATTATACTTTTTTTTTAAAAATCCTTTCAGCAATTGATCATAATTTGTAGCCCCCAGTGTTTATGAGTTTGACAGTTATAGATTCTATCCCCAAAAAAGTTTATATTGGCATACTCCCTGACTGATGCGCTCCAAAGTTTATTTTCCTGTGTGATGATTGTTTCAATGTTTTTTTTTTCTTGCGCACTTACATTATTTGATGTGTCCATGTGTGTGTGTGTGTATATATATATATATATATATATATATATATATATATATATATATATATATATATATATATATATATATATATATATATATTATATATATATATATTATGTATATGAGGGGTATTCAGAAAGATTTGCAATTCAGCATGAAGCACATACTTTAATATTGATATGATCTGTGATGGTCCGTTTCTGCCTCTTGAACCCCCCCCCCCCTTCCCTCCCCCCCCCCCCCCCCCCCCCCCCCCCCCCCAATCAGAATTCAGATGGATTTTTGTTAATTTTTAGAACTAATTTAGCTCTCAGGTTGACCCAGCCTAAAATGGGTGCCAGATTATGATGTTGTCCACATCACCCACCGAGTGACGTTGGTCTATCAAACTATAGTCAAAGCACTATAAGCCTGAAGGGTCACTAGCACAGAAACATACTTAATTTAATCCAGTGGAACAGATCTTGAATATGTTTTTCTTCTTAGAGTCCATGCTATGTGGAGTTGATAGTCATGTCTACCTACAACCTTCTGTCTCTTGTATTTTCCGTCAACTCTGATACAGATGATCTTCCTTGCCATGTCTAACTGTCCAGCATCTTTTTCTCTTGGTCTCCCTCTCCTCCGTCAACTTTCCTACTGTCGTAATGTATTCATTTTTTTCTCCTCATCACTTGACCAAAGAATGTAGATTTTCTGTTTCTGATGTGGGCAATCAGTTCTCTTCATGAGTCATTTTCTTTCAAGACGTCTTCATATACTCTTTTTATCTGCTTCAAAAAGATATTCAGTTTTAAGTGCCTTGCCAGCTGGTTGTGGGGCCTTTACGCAACCTGTGATCTCCAACATAGCGTCATCAAGCGGGTTGGACTGAAAGGCAGCCTAACTGTAAACCACAACACAACGTGCCAACTGTCCTTTTAACCCTATCACCCCAGGAAGGTTCCGAACCCAATATTTTCATAATTCCCAACAACGCTGCAAAACCTGCGTGTTTGCCGTGACCTGTTTCTGAGAAGTGTACTATAACGTCATTGGTTTTGTTCTGCCTTGTGCAGTGTTTAGGCGGCCTAGATGTAAATATATTCACTAAAATAGCAGGGGGGGGGAGGGGGGGGGGTCCCCTTGTGAACCCCCAAAAAAATTTTAAAAGCCATGTTGTTGTCAGATTATCCCCATACCCTCATTGATAAAGGTCACTGGGTGAAGATAAGAGTCACCCGATACAATGTATTTTTTAGGCCCTGATAAATGTATTCCACTTAGTGCTTCAGTCTGTTCACCTTTATTGTTTACTGTTTATTCAAATATTTATTATTAATTAATAATATTAATTATTTATATATTTTAAACTGCCTTAAAAAATATAGATAAATAAATTTGTAAAATTGTAAATAACTTGTATTTTAAAGAATTTCTTTATGAAATTCCCACAGACTTGGGGCCTATTGTTAGCATTAATGTAGCAAAAGGGTTGAGGGAGAATATGGAATAAGAAAACCCATTTGGTCTATTGTGTGTTGGTTGGTCCGTAAAATTATGTGACTAGCGCTAATGAGCCCTTGTTGTGAATCTCTCCCCCCCCCCCTCCCACCACCACCCCCCTGTGGGAGATAGAATATTGGGCATATGAGTAGATGTGAAGAATGACTGAACAGGCATTGAGATAGGAAACAAGTGATTTGAGAAAATAAGGTTGTCCAAAAGTAATCCTAAGATGTACGTTGATGAAAGAGGCCAAAGGTGCTGGACTGGAATCCATCCATGATATTGAAAGGATTGAGCAGGATTGAACAGATGTGTGACACACAGCAGCACAGAAAAAAAAAAGGATGGTTGGTAAATGAAAATCAGAAGAAAAGAATAAGAGTTGCCTTTGTGGGAACCATTTCCTGGGCTGTTCTGTGGGATAGACCCACTGCCTCTCAGCAAGAATGTCCTCAAAGACAACTAATCGAAGATTTTCTGTATTGGGGCCAAAAAGACCAGGAATTGCTGCCTAGAATTTGCCTAATCAGGCCCATTGTAAAGCCTAGCATTTTCCATATACAGCCGATGAATGTAGAAAATATTACAACACTCTTATCTATACAGACGGCAGTTGGTGCATAAAACATTTGCATGGTAAAACCTTTTTAACATAAATGCCAAGCAACAATAAAAATCAAAAGAGTTTGTACCAACCCGAGGCTAATAGATTTTTTATGAATAATACATCCCTGCTGGGACCAAAGTTTGTTCAAGTTAACCCAATTTTCGTCTTGGGCGAGAACCTGTTAGCAAGGTTTTACTTTATATGCAACACATCAGGTGTAGAATTTTGTTGTATTATATATATATATATATATATATATATATATATATATATATATATAAATATATATATATAGTATATATATATATATCTAATATATATATATATATATATATATATATATATATATATTATATATATATTATATATATATATATTATATATATATATATATATATATATACACACACACACACACACATATATATATATATATACACACACACACACACACACACACACACACACACACACACATACATATACACACACACATATTTACACACACATATGCACGCATGCGCACGCACACACACAGATACTTATTTGTGTGTAAAACCACTAGGATGTGGGGTATGGTTTACACATAACACTTTGCGTATAAAATATGCTCTGTATACAACATTTTGGGTATAAAACATGTATATACAACACTTTAATTAAATTAAAATACTCTGCACATACAACACTTTAAACCACAGAATATCTTGTATCTGCAACATTCTGGGTGGTAGAAAACAGTATAACTTGATTGTCTTGTTCCTACAACATTCTGGGAGGTAGAAAACAGTATAACTTGATTGTCTTGTTCCTACAACATTTTGGGTGGTAGAAAACAGTATCACCTGATTGATTGTCTTGTTCCTACAGGTGCTGACCCTCTGGCTTCAGGCCCAATTGGCTCACTACCAGCATCATCCACAAATCCCCTGTCAATTCTGCCACCGGGGATGTCACACCATCCGCTGTTCGCTGCTGCTGGATCTCGGGAGGAGCTTCTGCAGAGAGAGTTGTACAGCAGGGGAGGTCATTTTCTTGATCCTGCTCTGGCTCATCAGGTGTGTAGTCTGCGCAGTTTTGTTTCTCTACCTTATAACTGTACTGGCATGGCAGAGAGAAGTGCTACAACTTTCTTCCATTCCTGTTGCCTAGAACTCATATAGCATTTTTAGGACAAGCTTACATCATAACATTGTCACTTAATAATGTTAATGGCTAAGAGATGTCCCCTCTCCCGTCCCAAATTCGGCTTAAGCTGCCTCAAAACTGACATAACCAGTGGCAAGGCCCCTTTATAGACCAACAGATCTTCATTTTTTTTGGGGGGGGGGGGGGGGGGGGGAGGGTTAACAGATTCTTCCTCTGTGTTTTTCCTTAAAAAGTCTGGTGAGCAATAACAAATGTAGAAGCTGCACAGATATAGTATTATAGAAAGAGTAATGACAACACCAAATAGAATAGGGCAAGAGCGAAGGAGATTCTTCATCTGTGCATCCACCATGTGAGAGATTTGGGCATCTACCATGTTAGGGAGAAAGAATGATTTGGTTGATCTGGGCATCTATCAGATAACAAGTCTGGAGAGGAGTGAGAAAAATAAAATCTGAAATGATGTGGTTTTTATGTAGGGTGTTCACAAAAAGTCCCCTCCACAGTCACAGTTTTTAAATATTTGTGTACCTCATCATGAAATTTGTGTGATTGCAACAATGCAGTTAATGTGGAGGGACTAGGGGAGCACTCTGTAGAAGAATGATGAGAGCAGAATTGATTAATGTTGTATGTGGCATTTATTTATTATTGGTTGAGGCTCAAGCTTCACTGCAAACGTGTCTTCCCCTGAATACTCCATTCCTGTGCCGGCCAAAATCACACAAAATGCTTGTCACTGTCCATTTGAAGTTCTAGGGAAATATCGTTAGGTTTTATGTGTGGAATTTACACCAGATTTACAGTTATTAGCAGATGTCGGTGAAATGCATTCTCATTTTTCTACGACTGTTTTCTCTAAAGCAATCTCTGTTACTTGTTTCCCCAGTTGTCAGCACAGGCCGCTGCACACGAAGCTCTACAGAGGCATATGGCCATGGAGAGAGAACGATATGGTTCATCTGGTCATCTACCACATTAGAGAGAGAAAGAGATGGAGGGGGAGGGAGAGAGAGAGAGAGATTTGGTTCATCTGGGCATCTGCCACATTAGAGAGAGATTTGGTTCATCTAGGCATCTGCCACATTAGAGAGAGATTTGGTTCATCTGGTCATCTGCCACATTTGAGAGATAGAGATTTGGTTCATCTGGGCATCTGCCATGTTAGAGAAAATATGTTCATCTGGGCATCTACCACATTAGAGAGAGAGAGAGAGAGAGAGAGAGAGAGAGAGAGAGAGAGAGAGAGAGAGAGAGAGAGAGAGAGAAATTTGGGCATCTACCACATTAGAGAGAGGAAGAGATTTGGTTCATTTGGGCATCTATGCCACTCGAAAAAATGATTTGGTTCATTTGGGCATCTACCACATTAGAGAGAATTTGTTTATCTGGGCATCTACCACATTAAAGAGAGAGATTTGGTTTATTTGGGCATCTACCACATTTTGAGAGAGAGAGAGAATTTGGTTCATTTGGGCATCTATGCCACTGGAAAGAACGATTTGGTTTATCCAGGCATCTCAGAGAGATAACAAGGTTTGATTCACCAGGGTACCTGCCATACTCAAATAATTTTCATGTGTGGATTTCCATGGCTGAAGTGATTTTGTGTGTGTGTAATTATGTGCTTCACTATAAGCTACCCAGGTTCAGCCATCTCAGAAATATGTCTAGAGGAATACAGTTCAGTATTTTATCTGCAAGACACTACAAGATGGAAACAACATAGTAGCAGTTATTTACTTTTGTAAGGAACACAGAGCAAGGGGAATACCATGCAAGAGATGGAGCGACACAATCAGGAGCAACCTAGCAGTAATGAACACCAGCTTGCACAATGCATTAGAAAAAGCACACGAATGAACCTTACATCTACCTTACCTCGCTGAGGTAAATGGTGGAAGAGAAGGAGTAGAAGAAGTTACGTATAAAGTAAACATTTGTTTCCAATAGAAAGCACATCTTCAACAATTAGTTTTAACTTGATACAGCAAAAAGTCTGTATAAATAAATATAATAATATATCCTTTAGGCCTATTCTCGATTGAGGGATAAAAGAGCAGAATGAGGAAGGGTGCTTCCCCATATATTGGGATACATCAGGGATATGTTGTTATAGAGCAGCCAGTGTTTGCTGGGTGATGTGGTCAGTATTACACTCACTATCTTTAGATGCCAGAACAGTTCCCAAACTCTTTTAGATTAGTTCATTTGTTTGTTTGATTTCAGTTAGTCACGTGTAGCCTATGACCAGGGAGCTAGACTCATTCTAGTCATTATCGGTTATAATTATGGCAACAAACTGTTCCTGTTTCATTACATAGTGTTTGGTGATAGATTTTGTGTTTTCCATGTCTATCTGGCCAGCCAGGTTGTGTCCCTCTCATTGTGCAGGTTTGGATCTGATAAGGTCATGTGTTCCTTATTGTGCCATCCATTGGTGGTGCTACTGCCATTGATTGGGCTGTCTTCTGAGCGTATTTATGATGATATTGCTGTACCAGTTCTTCTTGTTGCTCCAGACCGTCATCCTGTTTCTTGCTTGGAATGTTTTCTTCTGGACCAGATGTATACTTGTTTACCTCCTTCAATAATTGCCACTTGATATCATCTATACACGGCTAGTCATCGTTGCTCCTCGTGCCATTTGTCAGAAGTCTATATGGGTACGAGGGTCAGTTTTAAAATATCCCAGCCTCAAGGGGGACAAATGACTACTGGATCAGCAGGCAGCCATGCTGGCGACCATGGCTCCAGCTTACAAATGGATGTATGGTCATGTGGGTGCGTATACTTAACAGGGTTTTGATATGTTATGGGTACAAAGAGATGGTAGGATTCAGGTATGTTTTCCTGTGGTTACATATAATTATATTGTCCTTTAGATGCATATAGATGCGAGCAGCATGAATATGTTGTCCTTTGGATCTAAATGTAGCTGTTATTATTTTGATGTTATCCTGTGGATGCAATAAAAAAAAAATAACCACACACACAACTTGGAGACTTGCTGTAGATGTCTCAGTTCATGGAAGCAGCACAACTAATAACCTGAGGATATGAAACCGATTACAGGCTGAGTTTTGTTCCAAGTTGGCTTTGGCTTCCAGGGTGACATAGCTTCAAATAGGTACCAGGTAGTGTCTTCTGAGGGAAGTAAAAGCCGCCACTTCATCCATTGTGTGCCCATTGATTGGTCTATAACAGATAGGTCTAGCACTAGATATTCAGTTACTTAGGCATGAAAGGGCTCCTATTGTTAACCAAATATTGACCAACTTGAAGGCATGTGATGAACACTTTTAGGTGAACAAAGCAGATAAAATGCTACATTGTTTTAAATCAACAAAGTAAAACTTGTTTTATTTTTAATGAAGTAGGCACAAATTTATATTTCAAAAATATTTTCTTTAAATCATATAGCAGGTATCTTCTGCATGTGCTCATAAATGGGGCATTGTGTTGTAGTTTTAGACTGTGATATCGGTGACTTTCGGCCAAATGCATCCAATTTAAGCAGACTTCCCAAAAATTGCCTTGTACGGCATGCTTTGAGGAGTGTGTGGCTGGGGGGGGGGGGGGGGGTCTGTTCATGTTGTCTTCAAAATTGGGCCCCACACGGGGAATGCAGCAGGTATAATATTGCTGACATATTTCAGTTTATGAGAAATTATACTGTTTACGAGTCAGGTTCCCCCCCCCCCCCTCTTTTCCCATATTCTTATAACACAGAAATGTAAATTATAAATTTGTTTTTGTTTAATGTCGGAAATCATAGACTAACTTATGAATTGTTATTTTGTGTGTGTTTGAATCACAGGGCCATGTTTGTGTGTGTTTGAATCACAGGGCCATGTTTGTGTGTGTTTGAACCACGGGGCCATGTTTGTGTGTGTTTGAACCACGGGGCCATGTTTGTGTGTGTTTGAATCACAGGGCCATGTTTGTGTGTGTTTGAATCACAGGGCCATGTTTGTGTGTGTTTGAATCACAGGGCCATGTTTGTGTGTGTTTGAATCACAGGGCCATGTTTGTGTGTGTTTGAATCACGGGGCCATGTTTGTGTGTGTTTGAACCACAGGGCCATGTTTGTGTGTGTTTGAATCACAGGGCCATGTTTGTGTGTGTTTGAACCACAGGGCCATGTTTGTGTGTGTTTGAACCACAGGGCCATGTTTGTGTGTGTTTGAACCACAGGGCCATGTTTGTGTGTGTTTGAACCACAGGGCCATGTTTGTGTGTGTTTGAACCACGGGGCCATGTTTGTGTGTGTTTGAACCACAGGGCCATGTTTGTGTGTGTTTGAACCACGGGGCCATGTTTGTGTGTGTTTGAACCACAGGGCCATGTTTGTGTGTGTTTGAACCACGGGGCCATGTTTGTGTGTGTTTGAACCACGGGGCCATGTTTGTGTGTGTTTGAATCACAGGGCCATGTTTGTGATTATCAAATAAAGTACAATTGTATATGACACTTGTTTAAGGGGGCTGTGTGGTCTCGAGGCATGGCATCCGCCTAGGGTGCTGGAGGTCCCGGGTTTGAAAACTGTCTGCAGTCTGTGTTCCATTTGAGATGTTGGGTACTATTTATGACATGCTTTTTAGGAAAGCAGTATTCCCCCCCCCCCCCCCCCCAAATGGGGCCGTAGGAGCATACAGGGTATGTGGTTAACACTCAGGCTGCGGAAGATAAATTGGAGTGCTTATGGGAATGTCCCCAATCCTGTAATTCCGTAACTATTGTAATGGGAAGACTAAGTGCTGGGCAATTGTAACGTTCTGCATTTTTATAAATAAGTTAGTTCGTCATCAGATTATCATCATCCCACATCAAACCATTCAGTCCATAAGTGCTCAGATCACCTCTTCAGTATGTCCCTCAGCATGTAGTGGCTTATGTCACCAGTTCTGTTTTGGTTTACTATTCTTCTCTGGGCTTCTAACAAAAACAACTCAAAGTTTCTGTAAAAAATTCATGGTAAAGCAGAGGCAGGAAACATCTGGTCTCAAGAACCTGTGTTCACAAAATTCTACCATAAGGCCTGCCAAGGCCACTGCTGTCAAATGTACCAGGTGTCCTTAAAGATTCCAATCCATACACAGGAAGCACATCAATTTTTTTTAAATAACAACATTGTTTAATTTATATTATCTGTTCTACATCCAGCATGTAAAACTGGCAGCGCTTTGCAAGCAAACCTTTGGGCTGCACAAAGGAAATTCTGCAGTAACTTTTTGTTAAAATAATTCCAATCAGTGGTCATATGGGGCCCTCCTGGCAACCATATTTGACCCATATGTCCCTCAGTTTGACATGCCTACTCTGCATAACTGCCTTTGTTTTGAAAACACATTTCCATACATGTCCTTTAGTGCTGAAGAAGCAGAGAATAAGCACAACTGGCGTCATACTTGCATTAGCGTTGGCCATGTTTGTGTTCCCCCCATGTATGGAAACTTGTGGGACACACTATTACCAGATGTTGTTGGCACAACAGATGCTAGTGTCACAGTGTGCAGTTTGTGAGTGGCATGGAAATTACACCACCCATGATAATACCAGTTGAGGCCCGGTATGAAATAGCACAAAACCTGGACAGAGACCATGTGTTGCCCATGCAGCATGATCCCTTGCCTGGCCCGATTTGCTAACTCCAAATGAACAGATTACCCTGGGATACAAAAGAACTTGGGGTGAATGTTCAACTATGAGTGAATGACCAGATAGAACAGACTAATTGTAAAGCTGATAATTTTTGTTTGGCCATGTTGTATATATCAAAAAGGCCCTTGGGAGATTGAATATGGGGCCTACCACAGTTGTTGAGGGTAATTTAAATAAACGATTGATTTAAATAAACGATTGATTTCAGCCTATTGTTTATTTGAAATATGGCCAACACCAAAGGTCAGAGTTCACCCACGTGTGCTGCCATCTTCAGATGTTTGACCTTTATCACTGGTCTTTGTGAATCTCATTACT